TAATGAACAAGGCGTGAAATACACCCAACGCGTCCTTGCAGTCCACGAGGTTCCACGCTCTGGTAAGCCGGACGAACTTTTGGCCAAGTACCGCATCGACGCCGCGGCCATTTGTGAGGAGGTGCGCGCCCTTGTTAACGCCTGACGCGACCCCTTCCATGTCGGCATCAACCAATCAATTAGTCTGCCCTTGTAGTCTGCCCCTGTAGTCTGCCTTTGTGGTCTTCTTTGCAGTAATTGTCCTATATAAACAAAAGTGTCCACTAATTTGCTCTTTTGCTTGGTGAGCGAGAAGTGCTCACGATTGATTAGATTTTCCCAAGTTTTGCAAAGTAGTACATTGAGACTCTGGCTGGACGGTATCTAGAGGGGTAGTCGCCTTTTCGAGGCGCAAAGCCGTGGAATTGTCCCCAGCCAAGGCGAATTTCGCGATTTCAACACTGAAGTGGTTGGTGACGCCAGGTCAGTCGGAGAATTGTCGACAGTAAACTCAAAGAATCGGGTTTTAGACTGGATGCCTCATGAACTAGATCTGTCAAGTTTTGTGATGAGGTGTTTCAGGAAGATGTGATTTGTTGTCATGTGGATCTGCTGTACGTCGGAAGAGCTTGAAAGATGTCTGAGAACTTAGCTTGGGTAGTGTAGGTGTTGTGCCGGGATGGCGTACGCATCAAAATGTCATTCATTCGGATGATGGCTGCGCTAAATCGTGTCAGATAGTATATTTGCTGAGTCAACTGAAAGTAACTGGTCGAATCTCGACACAAAACTACTAATGCTAGAATCAAGCAAAAATCTATCGTTTAGCACGAAGGCGGCTGTGTCTCAGTGGTTGTTTTTTGTGTAAGTCGGTTTATTCGGTGTATCGGGTGTTCGGAAGTGTCTGAGCTTGAATAAGTCGCCTGGGCCTCGGTTCCTACAAAATAACGGTTGCGCTTGACCACGGGGTCGTTTCTCGATGGAGGGCGCTGTTGGTCGTGCAAAACCGCGTGTCTGGCAACAGCCCCCCTAAAATGAGGTACGTAGTTAACGCCAATGTCCATGTCATAGCCAACTAGACAGTTGTGCCTTGATGTGTTTAGTTAATCGAGATCAGCTACTCATAACAGCCTTTCAAACACTAAAACGTCAACGCGACTGATTAAAGGTGGTATCGAGACGGGCGGCTCTCACTACCCCTTTGAGGCCACAGTTTCACATCTTAGTGGACGTGTGTGTTGCGTGACTTTCTGATTGCGTACAAATCCAAAGCAAGCAACTTTAGCGCTAGCCAATCAACTTCGAACTGGGTGAAGTTGAGCCTTGAGACAGCCAATAGCTGTGAATTTTGGCTTTGTCTAGTTCTCGCTTACTAGCTATTTTCGGCGCAATATAAGACAAATTACACAAGTGAATCGTTCATCAACAGGCAGTAACGGTGCTTACTAAAGCACCAAATGCGGGCCACACTTGTGCATGGCTAATTTGACCTTATTATGACTCCACACGCAGATACACACCACACTATTGGCTGACTTGAGGCCACGTATATTACTTGTTCTATTCAAACCCACGAATTCACCTAGGTGGGGTTTCGATTGTGCACGGCCCAACTGTGCACAGAAAGGTAGCGCTCCCAGAGGTAATAGAAAAGATAAAACAAAGAAGTTTCTTTAATCTTGGACAACACAGGGATGGCGACAAACCATTGGGGGTGCGTTGGAAATGACAATCTCGAAGAGTTTTCACCAATGAGACCCGTTGAAACGTGCAGTATGGCTAAAATGAAATACCAACATAACTAGGGTCTGCGGAGCAAACCTTATCGGTGGTGCTTGGCATGCAGTCAGACCGGATTAACACCACAATTAAGCGTCACATTAAATTAAAAAGTATTTTGTCAAATCACGCATGAATTGAAGTAGTCAAACTTATAGAATAAATGTAGTGCATACCTTTGAATGTGAAATATTTAGTAAAAAGTTCCTAAAATGGCGTAATAGCACTGATAAGAGCAACTTGGATTCTCAATTAGGGAGATGTCCACTCCCTCTGCGTGCTGCAGTTGATTTAAGCATTCAGTCACACTCATTGTGATCGCGAAATTGCTTTGTCAGTAAGTTGCGCAAATAATCAGCAAAGATACACTCGCATCCGCCAATGGCTGGTATCACTGACTTTGAGAATTCCTTTGGAATTTGCGAACAATTAAGAACCGAAGGCAGGCAGGTGCTGTGGATAGTGTATTGGATACCGCGTCGCAAGCACTGACGTCAGTGTTGTTTGAGGTACGCACCTCAATGGGAACACACACAAGAACACACACTTGGAGGCACTCGTAAATGACGTGAAAACGCAGTTCATAAATCTCGAGAATGCTGTCTTCATAGAAATTTCCACTAGACGTGTCCGAGGAACGCAGTATCTACTATGTTGGTCAACGATGATGGAAGTGCAGCAGCCCAATGCAGCACCGATCACTCCAACCAATCATAAATTCGAAGCAGAACAACTAGAACCGATAGGGTTGGCCTTCGCTGTTGTATGAATGCACTTCAATTTATGGAACTGTCAATCTAGCGTATTACGGCTCACACGCACCCAGGTGTGTGTGCGTGATGACAGAAGTGTACTTCAATGGCAACAGCTGATGGCAGAATGTTCAAAGTATTCTCACCTAAACAAATCCAAATGTTGCGAAGACACGCCCTGTTATCGAAAAGATAATCAATTGGCATAATTGTACTTTTGTAGCAAAGTGCATTCATTACAAAATTGGAAATGTTTGTCCTTACTACTTTTCTTCCTGCAAACCTGGTACCTCAATTTCCATTACGAAATAAAATCAGCATATAGGAATACATGATGAAACGTCACATTGGAAGATGCCAAACACATAAACCAGTCAGAAGAGAGAAAGTTGGCAATTGAGTCTTTGGTTGATCAGAATACGCAAACATTTATGGGTGGTGACAAACACTGATACATGCAAGGACATGCTTAGGTAATGCTTCCATTCCGACCTACACTAACCTTCACTGTGCCTGTAAGGGAATATCAGAAGAGGAAGATAATGGTAAATTGGTTTAAAAATCGATATCAATTGTACGTGTTTGCGAATGCACAGGTGTGGCAAATAACTCGAGTGCAGGCAGATACTTCACTAAAAGCACGTGCAGTCGCACGCCTTCACCAATGGAAATCAATTGAAACACGGTTGACATTGTACATGCATCTAGTGGCTACAAGCAAACAAGTTTGGGGACAGTGTGGATAGTGAGCAGTAGTGTGCACCTACTGCTTAGCTTAAATCAGTAGCACAAAGCTGAAGTTGTGACGAATTGAATTTGGAAGGTGTCGGTGGGCACACAAACTAAGTAGTCTTTGCCACCTCATTACTGACATGTCTGCAATTTAGTGCAGTCTGGAATAAAATTTCACTAGAAATGCTACTTATAAAAAGGGAGCTACGCACTAACGCTTTTTACCGAAAGCCATAACTCTGCCTTGCAAATTCTCGGCTTTAAGTTATTGCTGCTAAACATTACACATCCTGTTTCGTAGGGTGCGAGTTGGCAGCACTTTCCTCAACAGTCACAGGAGCCTGCTGTATGTTGTCTTCGAGGCCACCGTTTTTTAACAATTTACAAAAGTCCACACCAAAATAAATCAAAACCAGTGCCATGAACCACAAACAGCATCCTCTTAATGACCAACTAGTGATTGCACCCGGAATGCTACACCCAACTCAAAGGAATATACACAGGCGAATGAAAAGGGGGCAAGACGCGTACTGCACAAATTGACGTACTTTAAATCTACAGGGTACGCGTGAATTTGTTTATGTAACAGCTGCGTTGTTCTCAAAAAAACAATTCTTTCAGGCGCTGTGTTTGATTGAGCAACTTGTAGAATAGAGTTTGCTTTAGCAACCTAATTGTTACCACACGGGGTTCTTGTGTTAAGCCGGCGGAAATACAGTGCTGCAGTTCAGTTTAAATGGACATCAGTGATTGGTCACCTTTGTGGGTATGGCAACGAGGTCCTGAAGGAGGCAACGAAGATCAGTGAGGACGTTGCGCAGCGAAGAAAGACGAAAATCCCACTCGACTCGTGCCAACTGATCGGGTGTCCAGTCACCTGGGCGGTTTCGAGTTGCTGAAGTGCTGCTGGACGACTGAGCGCTCACATCCACGCACATTTGACGCAGTTGCTGGTAGATCTGCAACGAGTTGTTGGCGATCTGTTAAATCTCAAACACCATCTCTATGTACAGTGTTATAAGTAGATAGTACTTGATCTTATGGTTAGTTGTTGGGGTTGTCTTTCACTGGTGCACCCGAATGGCTACTTATTTGGGCTAAATACGCATGCATTTATGTTAACGGCTTGAAGTCAGTGCAGCGTACTTCGGCAACCTCTGCTCGGAATCCCTCGAGAAATTCCTGCTCCATTGAGTCGTCGGCACCACTGTCGCTGCTCTCATTGTTGGCGTCACAGTCCATCTCCAAATGGCCATTGTCACCGCTTCGAATTAACCGACCACTCGTTGTCATGGCGGCGAGAAGCGAGGCGTCGTCAATCTCGATTCCATCGTCTTCGTAGAATTCAGTCATGGTTGGATCCAGTTGAACGTGTTTGTACCACCACTCATCTGCCTACAAACAAAGCAAATTTCGCTCGTATTACACCATGGTCACACGATGAGCTCCACTGCAATCCACTTTGAAGGCGAGTTCGTTACTTCACGAATGTGTCCATGCTACTTAATAACGCCAGTAGCTATGTTTGGAAATCAACATTATCCACGGTATGTCCTCGTGTGTAGTGGCAGAAGACTAGAAATGGATGACTGTTGAACTAGCAGCATTAAGCCGTGACTAGAACCCTTAAACCTCATTACGACACCGAACAACCCAAATCTTTAGCCCCGGTGGAACCTCCACACAGGTACCTGATAGATACAACAAAAAGAGCGCGTACGGCGTGAGCCGGATCAGCATCGGACAGCTCCCCGAGCAGTGATTGGTGGGGTTTCGAGCTCGGTCCAGCCTCGTTCGCCTGGGCAACACTAGTAGGCGCGTTGTGCGAAGGTGACACGCAGTCGAGGGTGCTGAGCTGATCCCTTAGTACCGCCGCTGCTCTCTGTAACTCAATGAGCTCGTTGTCCTGGCAGCTTATCTGCACACACAGAAAGTACAATGAGCATCATTTCTGCTCCATTCTCGTCTGTATTACTCTGGATATATCAGAAGCCAGTTTATGCGCATCAAGATTGCTCGTGGTACGAGAATTGCATGAACCATCGCAGTTTAACCGGGAGGAACAAAACACCATTTGTCCCAACTAAAATACCATTCATTTCACACCTTTATAACACACGTCACGCATCCCACCTCCTCTCATCACATATCCCTTCTCTTCATCTTCGAATGTCGACTGTCGTGATTCTAACCTAATGTTCTCTTTTGGGTTCGGTTCATGGTGCAACGCGAACACGCACCTTCCAGACATTCAGATTCGTTTTAGGTAGGGGGGAGAGTGGACGCAGTTTGGAGCGAAATTCGACTCCCACGCAAGTGATTTTGCACTCAGCAGACGTCTGCAAGTAACTAAAAGCAGGCAAACACTGAAGGGATTTTCTGCTGTCGCGGCAATTTATTTGTTGTGTTAGCGAGGATGTTTACAAAATGGGAGTCAACCAATGACGTTTTAGCGGCAAATATGAATGTTTAAACATAGAGCGCACACGCACGAAAATACCTTAGTCTAACGGATTATAAAAGTCCGATCTTCTATTAGAACTTGCCTCTTCTGAAGTCTTTTACTGCCCACTCAGTGGACCATTCTGATTTTGCATGCACAGTAAACACGACCTCTCTGTTGTGAAGTTCTAGGTGTAACATTCGGCCGTACATTCTGGGAATGCTCACCAATACGAGAAATGCTGGAAACTGATTGGGTAGATTTAGACCTTGCTAGTTCGTTGCAAAGATAATTTTAAATGTATTATGGGCGTGTGTAGGATAGAAAAACTTCTCCTAACCTTAAATGTCAAAATTCACACTATGCCATAATTTGTGGCTAATTCGAGCTTGTCAATTGGCCTCTCAGTGATTGTAGCCCGTTGAGTCACGAGTACCAGTTAGCCAATCAAAGCCCGCCCTTCAGATTTGTGAATCAATCCCTCCAAAAGGTGTGAATCTAATATCGTCACAAATGCGCTGAAAAGGTATTGCATGAAATCGAAGGGAGCATAAAAGTGAAGAGCGACTGTTCACACAAGATTGATAAAGAAAAGGTTGGTTTAGTCTACCGATGTCGCCCTCAATAATTATCATCCTATCTAGAAAAACTATTGGTCCAAATTTTCACACTGTAGTGCCATTTTCGGACACCTAACGCGTGCAGATTACGTTCGAAGGCCGCTTCTGATCGAAATTTACTGGTAACGAAAACAGCGTAATTTGCGCGTCAGCCACAACTTAAAATCGCCATGCCAACCAACTGACAGCCAGCCAATCCAACGCGCACGTACACGCACACACACACACACTCACACCTGCATCCGGACGACCCTATTCACATCTCATTGGTTAGCGCCACGGGCTTGTGATCGTTCAATCTTAGGCATCTTACACAATTACCACATGAAAACTCAAAAAGGCGAAATTTTTCGAAGCCTCGAGTTATTATTCAATAAATGAGCCGATTAAGTGCATTTCAAGTCTCAAGGGATGTACCACCAAGGTACAACAGTTTAGAGTTCAATTTTTCAACAAGATTTGTAAATCTGTCGAGGTGGTTTCTAACGTATGCCGGCTGTTGACTGCTTTATTAGGACTGACTACGTTAATACTACTGAAATCTGCAGAGTAGACTCCACCTCTTGACAACAAAAGTCCATGTTAAGCCCTTGAATGGAAGTCTTACACCAAGCCAGATAAAATACCATCTTGAAACTATTAAAAGGGCCTGTCAGAAAAGTACGCTTATTGAGTTTTGTTTAAACTGATATTGTTTTCTTGGGCATTTGAGCATGAGTAGTCTTGGTTTTTGAGTCTCCATGATGTTACTGTTACAAAAAACAGTTAATCAGTTAGATTTATAGGCATTCAGTGTATGGGTCATGAACTCTGAGAAGTGTGCAGCAGGTACCAACCGTCTCCAGTGGTTACGCAGACGTGTTTGAGGACGCACTTGTGTGCAAATAGCCTCAATCCCTCGTGTTCAAGACCATGTCTGCGCACAAAGCGGGTGTTTCAGTTGTTATTCTCTGGGTTTCTACATGGCGCAACGGAGTCTCAACAAGCTTCGAGGCCCACACCTGACCCCCTATAACTGGTAGCCCCAACGTAGCCACCTGATTGACCTCGCACCTTAACAAAGGTACAAATTCCCGATAAATTTTAGTACTGGAATCAGTATGATGCAGCAGCAGGGTGGTTTGAACGAGGCTTCAACATGGGATCAACACCAGAAGATGCGGTAACTTGCCACACTCACCACATGCTGCTGACTAGCGTTCTCTTGTTGCAGCAGGGCGCTTGCCTGCTGGGCGTCCGACAGCGTTGTGAGAAGGCAGTCGCGTTCGTCCGTGATGGCCTGCAACTTCTTCTCCAATGACTCCTTGTCCTCTTTTAATTGGGTAATCTGCAAACGACACAGTATCGTGTGCATTCAGATTCACAAACAAATGCACTGAATTCAACTTAACAATCGGCAAATGCAAATTCTCGCAAATATCATCAGCGTGAAACCAATTTAACCAATTTTTCTAGAAAAGCCATCGATATTCATGGAAAATGTAACGAAAAGTAGCAAATTGCGGTTGTCGATTAAACAGGTAAGGCTGAAGGCACATTTACGCATGAAATACATACGGGTTTCTAGACAACGGTTTACGAAAAGTTGGTAAACTGATCGAGATGTCACTAGAATAATTGACTACAGTTAGCTTGCGTGTAGGTGTTTCACAGTAATGTGGTTATTTTGAGGAAGTAAGTTATGCACTTCAGGCGCAAAGAGAATTAGATTCATTAGTATAACTGCGTGCAAGCTAAATTTTAAGTACAAAGTCAGGATTAAAGCCTCTAATGAGATCAAGAGGGAATATCCTAGTTACTTGATGAATTTGGAATTGTCTACGAACATAGTCCGATCACAGTTAACATCGGCCTTTCACTGCATTAACAAGATTCCTTCTTAAATAGGACCCAAGTAACAGATAAACTGTGAGCGTTTGCATCAAAACTGTTCCAGGGACCACTTCGAAGGAATTTAGGTGATTAGTAAACAAACGCCAGAACTGTTCAACTGTGGCCTTTCAAAAGAGCAGTCACACGATCTGCTATAGCTGCCTTTAAACACTTATGACTCCATAAGCCATTTGAAATTAATATTCATCCTTTTAAAAACAACTACTCCAAGCAGTCGACAGAAATGGGAATCAGTTTGACCATTAGGGGTTGTGTATATTGTTAAATCCAAACCCAGTTGTTGGGTTGGGAACTGGTCTGAGGTTTATAGAAAAGATCATTACCAGAGTGTCAAAAAAGACTAAGTTAAAGTGATGAACTGTCACCCTGTCAACGCCAGACCACATGTCACCAGACAGACATTAAAGAAAAAACTTGAGTTGTAAAGATGAGAAATCATACAGCATCACTGGCAGCTGTTTCTTGGCCTAACCCTTGCCTATTTCTGTCTATTTTGTTTCCAGCAAAATAATTTGAGTGGCAAAAAGTGAATTGTATAGAAGTAGTCCAAAATGGCGTTAGACATTCTCGGAAGTGAAAACGCTCAATGTCAACAAGTAAAAAACACAACAATTTACAAAATTTCGGAAGGCTCTTATGGGGGATTATGGTAACAGCGTCGTTGGTAAGTCAGTAATATTATTCATGCAAATATGCAAGAGTTGATTTCGGTTCAAATTGTTCAACACGTCGTCTTTAATTTTATTCGGCTGTTCATTTACACTGAGAGGTAATGTTGAATTTAACTGATGAAAGTAGAACACAGTCCAATAAATTTCATAGCAAAAAATGCATATAATAATGATAATAATTGGACAACAAAATATTTTTTACCGAGTAATAGCTCAAACTTAGGGATTTTTTGCCCGACCATGTTGCATTCTCTGTGAAAATTTAACTCAACGGAGACGTTAAATATCAGGAATAACAGGGATTATAAAGTCACAATTTATAAATTTATAGCATCTGTCAGACACAAGTGCTACCTAACTTCTTAACTAAGAGTCAAATGGTTCGGGTGGTCATTAGACAAAGTGAATCAATGTTGCGCTAAAAATAGCGGGAAAACTATTGGATAATTGATTCTTCCATCTAATTCTATTTTTGTACCGAGTAACATTTTAGCATAACGAACGACAGCCGGAAAATTAGTATTTGAAAAGTCTGTGCGATTCAAACATTATGAGCGGAATTTTCGATAATCATAGGTTCTCCACTCCCAGCTGCAATTATATTAGCCCTTATCACTCCACTCGAAGGCATGACGACCACTGATTTATAAAAAAAATGTTTTCCATATACATTTGAGTTGATTGATAGTGATCAAAATTTCTATTCATTCATTTGTGAAAACACATGTAACAATGACATTTCTAAATGTTTTGCTGGCTTGCAAAGAAGAAATACAAAATTTTCACGAAGACTCTTACTAGAGTAGGACGACCTACCTCAGCTCGAAGACTCTCAATTTGCTGTATATGTCCCTGAATAGCAGCTCGCGCAGTCTGGAGATGCTGCTGCATTGTCTTCACCTGCGCCACGGCCTCAGTGGCAGTATTTGAGGCCTCATCTAACTTCACCTGAAGTGCAGCGTTGCATTCAGTCAGAGAGTTCACGCTCTCTTGATGCTCCTGAGCAGCCTGAGCGTAGCGACGTTTCTGGTTCTGAACCTCCTCTCGGAGATTCAGGATTTCGGATTGAAGCTCCTTCATTTGAGCGTCGTAGTCGCTCTCTACGGCTATCAGACGCAAACGCACAGTCTCCTTTTCTCTTTGAATGTCCTGTCAGTGATTAATAAGATGGTGGCTTTGTGCAACGACTCAGATTATGGAATAGCACCTTAAAGCAGTAAACGCACATGAATTTGCTGGCAAAACTGCCCGAGAAGGCGCTGATTTTCTTCTCTAAGCCGAATGTTTTCGTCCAGGATTGAGGCAGCGATGTCAGTCTGATCCATTAATCCGTTTGATGCAGCAGCGTAATGGAAGAATTCAACCTGTGGCTCCATTGAAGATCAATAAACCAAGATTGCCAAACCTAAAAATATACATGACCCCAGTTCGGAATGCAACCTTGACTGTGTAAATCACGGCTGGGCTAACGGATTATCATTACAGTTATTATAAGTTCGCATTTGTTTATTTAAGCATATGAATCGGTATAAATCAATTCCTAAATTGTAGCCTAAACGCATTAAATACTGGAATGTACAGATCAGTTTCAGTAACATTAACGGTCAAAACCATAACAACCCTGTACTCGCTCGTAAAAAAAAATAAAACAAACTTCCTGACGTGTCCTATTATGTCACCAATAATCATAAATGAAATTTAGTTCAAGTCATCAACTGGTCATGATGTCAAACACCAAAAGCAAGTAAGAAATTCAACCACTAATTTCAAAGGTAGGTTATATTTAAACAAATGTATTTTTGTGAAACCCTTTGGTTAGGTAGGTAGGTAGGTAACTCTCTAGTAGATACGATCACTAATGATAGTGGCGTCCAAACATGAGATAATAAGTAACCCGATAGATTGTGAAACTAACTACGAAGAGAGATTCGTCTAGCAGAATAGAAATTTTTAAGTAACATTATCTGCGCATTCAAACTTCAAATAGTAAAAAATTAAAGTTTGACTGTTTTCAATTAAAATCACTCACATACATATCGGGATTTGTTACCTCAGAAAATTATGTATACTACTAGCGGTTTGTTTAAAATAATTATAAAAAACTGTATAGCTTTTCTGTTGCAAGATTTCATGTACTTTAACTTAACACTTTTAAAAAATATTAATTAAATAAATAAGGAGTTTCCGGGATTATGTTAAATTAAAAATGTGTCAACGTCATCCTGGTTAGCGGAATCACAGTGATCCGCTAAATTCCAAGGTCAGTCTAATATGTTCATGTTAAAATCAGTAAAAAATATTATATAAATGTCAAATGATTGAAAACGTTTGATGGAAATATTCTGCATCAGTCTATTGTCAAGGGTTTTTAAAATTAAGGATAGACAGTTTTAATAAAAGCAAAATACGCTTTTACAACCCCCAAGCAATTCTTTAACAATTAAGTAGCCGTAATTGATTTGTTGGTAAACTCAAAACCGACAGCAATACTAAGTACAGCGCCACTTCTTCATTGTTCAAGGTTTTGTGCGATCGATCTATATAAACAAAATAAAATTGCCTCAGTGATTTTATCCATTTAATTTTGTCTGAAAATTCAATCGCAAGCCTAAAATATTTTCGAAGTTTAAAAAAAAATTTTTATAAGATGCAGTAGCGTAATTACCCAGGAGATTAAAATCATGGATTTGCTCTTTTGCAAACTTTCAAATTCCTGTGTTGGATGCTGTTATAAGAAATCGCTACCTAGTTTATGCGCTATAAAATTTTAAAAAAACTTAAACACACTGTTTTACAATATAACTGCTAAAGCATGCATACAAATGTTGGTCTTTTCCTTTCGTCTATGTCCTGTCACTCCGAAGCCAAAATGAAAATAGCGAGATCCTAATGATCCCCGGTTCAGTACTAACAAGCATGAGCGTAAAGGGAACGGAGATAATGTTACCTGGACAAAAATTAATGACCTCTGATTCTGTTAAAATTTCAGGCATTTCCACGTTAGTTTTAATCGAAATCCTTATTTACTGGGTAACGTAACACTTATAATGTTTTTCTTTTGTTATTTACTGCTTTGTAATTTTTCTTATCCTAATGGACAGGCAATAATCACAGTGGTAAGCCTCTATTGACAAGCAATTATTTATTAACTGCGTGTTACCTGACGAATGTGTTTAATTCAGAGCTTACGAGTAATTAAGCATTAGTGAGTAGTATTAATGCAAAAATATCTATTTAGCCCGTGTATCTAATCAATTGTGGACGATTAATATGCGTTGACATTGCTTTTTACATACACGATTTCTGGGAACTTTCAATATCAAACCGAAATTTTTTGTAATAGGATGTGCTTGCTACTTGCCCAGTCATCACACCCAGGTAATCTTTAATTGGTTTATCATAGCTAATTTTGCTTTCAATGATGGCAACTTGCTTGGATCTGTGACCGTAGAAATTTTTGATGATCATTTTGCACATGGATGTGGATCATATAAAGTTAACAAGTTTAACTGTGAACAAATCATTTCTCGATGAATAAAAAAATGCCTGTGTGAACTCCTTCATTCCTTGATTCTTCCCGTTAGATAAACGATAAGAAACCAATTATAAGCATTTTGCATGAGATTTAAGATGTAAGCGCGTAATTTTTTGAGTCACCGCCTTGTATCCAGCCTGATTATGCTACGCTGATATCTAAAATGGTGAGGAAAAATGGAGAGGACGAAGCACAACCATTTGTTGTTAGTGCGCATTAAAAGTAGTGCATGACACAAGTGCTCTGGTGACTCTTACAGTTAGTCGAGCAGTTAAAATTCCAACGTCTGAATGGTTACATCGACGAAGCAGGTGGTGACGATCCCGCTTGACTGTCGAACAGGCCGCTAAAAGGACTATTTGTGTGAGGCTGTGACGGCGAAATTATTGGACTTGAATTAACATGATTAGCTACAGGATTAAATGATATATTCGAGTGCCGCAGGTCTTAAACTAATAACATAATTTAAAAAAGTCTTCTGTTTGTTTCATGCAATAATGACGAACGGGCAAACGACAGTCTGGAAGTTATAATTTACTTTAGAATTAAAATTTTTAAACCCGCATTAGACTATTACCAATATTATCAAAATGTGGAACATTTTTTGAACGAGGACATAATTTTTGAATCTGTTAATGAACGCTTATCATTGGCCTTCTGGTTACAATTAAAAGGCAAAATTTAGAAGACCTACAGTATCCTCAAGTAAATAACTTGAAAGTAATGCTTTGTGGCAATTAATTCACTATCATAGGTTCGTGATATTATGAAGGATCTGGGAACCCCTCAATATATTTTTCAATTATAAATTTAATTATTTATTGACTTATATGACCACATTCGTAGTTGAAGACTGATTACGCTGCTCTGCAATAGCGTTAATTACGTGTAAGGACTGGCATATGCGACCGTTTAAGCAAAATTTTATTTAAAAATTCGGAATTCAAAATTGTTACTTGTGTTTTTTTAAAAAGGATATTCTCATTTGCCTTAATTTTTATTCATGTCATAAAGTAATCAAGGAGGTAGTCATAGTTTACTTTGACACTTTAACTTTGATGTATTTTAAAGTGAGATATATGCTAGAATAGCTAAAGTTGCTTCAAAGATATCGTGTTTTAACAGTTTTTCTATATATTAGAAGGCGGGTGATTTGTTCTCTCTTGCCTCAATTTTGCCCCTATTGGCGCGTGCGTGGATGCTGTGTCTGCGCTGCTCGGTTTACTGGACATGCAGTTTCCGCCAATATGTGCTTCTCGTGCACCCTCTTTCTTTTTGGATTGTTTATTTTAAAAACCTGACAAGCTCCTCTTCCTGTGTTGAATTTTTTGATCTCTCCTCTGTTTTCTGATATTTTATATACGCTTTTTTCTCCAAATCGTATCTTTTTGGTTCAATTTAAATACAAATTCATTTTCATATTACAAATTTGGTGAATTATCAACTTTTTTAGACATTACCTTGGAAGGTATTTGCTATATAATCTGAGTACAATGACAGTTTTTAAGATGCTCAGTCGGTCCTTGTCGGTGAGTCCCTTGCTACTTTTTTACCTCAATATAGAATATGACCTTCTCCCTGAAGTCGTTGCCCTCCTTGATGACATTTAGCAAAGTAGGTGTCAAAAGTCTTACTAAACCGTCGATTGTAGTTCCATACCAGCCCCTTGGCTTTGGCTGTAATGGGACCCCAGAAAAAGGCGTATGTGCGGGATAAGCCACATATGAACATTGGCACTATTGGGCATGTTGACCACGGCAAGACGACTCTTACTGCAGCCATCACTAAAGGTACATGCTTATTTTTTTTGCAACTATTGTTGTAGTATTGTCTGAGGAGCAGAAGGGCAAAACTATCTTTAAGTCTTACGAAGAGATTGATGCAGCGCCCGAAGAAAAGAAGCGTGGTATTACTATAAACGCAGCTGTCGTCGACTACACAACTGACAAACGCCATTATGCCCACACAGACTGTCCTGGACATGCCGATTACATTAAGAACATGATCACTGGTGCCAATCAGATGGAATGTGCTGTAATTGTTGTTGCCGCGACGGATGGAACGATGCCTCAAACTCGAGAGCACTTGCTTTTAGCTAAACAAATTGGAATTCAGAATGTCATTGTTTTTATCAACAAGGTAGATGCTGCGGATGCCGAAATGTTGGAGCTCGTTGAACTGGAAATCCGCGACACTCTTAAGCAATATGGATTCGATGGAGATAATACTCCCATAGTTAGTGGCTCAGCACTTTGTGCCTTGGAGGGCAGGGATCCTGCTATCGGTCGCGATAAGATTGTTGAACTTCTCAAGGTTATTGATGAGATTCCCATGCCCAAGCGTGACCTTGACAAGCCTCTGCTACTGCCAATTGAACAGGTAAATAGTGGACGCTCGTTTTATTGCTACTCGTTTGCTTAACTTTCTTAAGTGCCTATGTGTTTCGCCAGCGGTGCTTGATTTTGTATCGTTCAATGGTTCACAAGTGCCTATTTTTCGGCCGTAGGTGTTCACAATAACCGGCCGTGGCACGGTTGCTACTGGCAGTATCAAACGCGGCAAAATAAAGCTACAGGATCAGGTTGAGATGGTTGGTTACAACAAGATTTTGAAGTCGACAGTCACGGGGATCGAGATGTTTAAACAGATGTTAGATTACGGTGAAGCCGGTGACCAGGTTGGCATTCTTCTCCGCGGTGTTAAGCGCGATGAAATTCGTCGTGGTATGGCTATCGTCGCTCCCAAATCAGCATCTATCTACAACTACTTCCAGGCTCAGGTACGTTACACTGAATGCCTTGCCCGTTAAACATATCACTGGGCTCATTGTGATCCGGTAAACTCGGTTTGGGGTGTTTTTGGCTTTACTTTGTCAAACACGCTCAAATAATTATTTTCTAAAGCATCCTCCGCTTATGTTTATAGTCTTTCTGTCAGTACACAGAGTTACTTCCGTATCAGGTCTCCCCAATTCCGAGTTTTTTCACGCTTCTATAGATTCCAGTATTCTATAAAACCGATTACATCGTCTCAATTGTCTTTCGTTTAGTTATTATTAAGTACATGTTCTCATTTTGAATTTTAGTACGCTTTGTGAGTGTGCCTTACAGTAGACCTCGAGCAATTAGGAATCTTTTCTGCGGTTTTTTTCCGATTCTCCCAAGTGACGGTTTTGAGTGCCTTGCTAAGTTGATGGCAAGTTCGTAAATAAGTGTGACCTATCGCATGGCAGTCAGACTAGCGCATCCTTTGGTTTGTCCCCAGTCAAATTTTCAAGAAAATTAACTTTTTACTTTAGCCGAAATTGTGGAACATTGTGGCCATATCTAACAAATCGACTGGACGTCTTAATGCCAACGCAATGCCTTTGCATCCCTAAAAATCCTGCATCTGTCCACAACTTCAATACTGTATTTTTTTTCCCCTTTAATCAGCTTGAATTCTGCCTGTTTTGTAACCAGAGCACGATTCCGTCATCTGTGTTTTCCGATATTATCTCGTTTTCATAATTCACTCGTTTGAATATGCCTGTGGATAATGCCTCTGTCTAGCAATATCCATCTGGGTCGTCAAAGGCAAATTGCAATAATGCAAACTCAATCTAGCTCGTGTGTTTCAGTTTGATCGATCGTCTTCCAGTTAGATTATACATGTTTGTCTAAAGTTAACCCAGGTAGTTGTGTCAGTGGCTCGAACCAAATTTGCGTTTTTCTCAGTCTGGCTTGCCGTTAAAGCTACTTCGCAAAGCTTTTTCATAGCTTTATTCATGCGTGGAATGATTAACAGGTATAACGCCAGCCCACTGCACTTTAGCCTTTCAAACTGTGTCGTGGTATCCTGTATTTCAGGCTTTTGGGGACTCACTTTGCCAATTTGACCTCTAGAATGTGAGGTCAGCGCTAGTGGCCATGTCTACTTACGCGAAGTTAGTAACGGTTCAAAAGTTAGTCCCTTTACTTCCTGCGTTGTTCCCTCATTTGGTTTCTATCTCGTGACGTGTAAGTCTTGTTCATAATGGACTAGATCAGAAAGATTCACTACGAAGCAAGTGATCTTGCCCGTTGAATACTAACATGGAATGGAGTCGACCAGATTCGCCTGAATGATTCAGCAGTTCGAAGGGGACGATGTGTCCTGTTGGGCGACTACACTTCCAACCTAGAACTAGTGTATGGGGTGATTGGGACGTTGGATTTTCGCGCCATTGATCTCAGTTTTTGCGATGTTTACTTCACATTCTAGGTGTACATGCTTTCGAAGAAGGAGGGTGGCCGACCGAAGCCCTTCACCAACAACTTCCAGTTGCAGATCTTTAGTATGTCTTGGGATTGTCCTGCTTTCATTCAACTGGAAGAGGGACGGGAACTACTTATGCCTGGAGAGGACGCCACCATCAAACTGCACATGCAGAAGAAGATGGTGAGTTTTCCATTGAGCCTCCTTCTCCCTCGTTTCTGACCAATCGTTTTGCGATCCACCTAGCTGCTGACATGTCGGCCTTGAATGTAGGGTAAACGGGGAGCCAGAACAGCCATATGTTTATTTCGGCACTAGTGCATTTTGAACCATCATTTTACCGCAGAATAGATTGTTATGCTTCTCACGATGTTAGTTCAACTTTCCATTAACTAAGCGGTCACATATCTGAGACCTCAAGTGCCAATCATCGGACAGTACGTGGTTGCCTCAGTTTGCTCTCTTGTGCTACTCATTCAAGAAGTCAGAAGCATCCAATAGCGGTAGCACATAGGCTTGCAGGAACGCCAGATTGAATCGATAAGAAGGCTCGGCTTTAACTCGCTTGTTTCTTTCCAGTTCTTGGAACCAGGTCAACGCTTCACAGTTCGCTCTGGCGGTGTAACGATGGGCTACGGCGTGGTCTCCGAGCTTCTACCCGACCCTGGAATGGGTAAATGGGGGGATTAGATGATGCTGGACCAGCTCTTAACGCCAACTTTGCCCGGGTACTCGATCAGTGCTGATGTTCTACATTTTATACCTCCCCCGACTATCTTGTTGCCCTGTACACACAAATGTGGTTGCCCCACTGACGGATCAAGTGAAACCCCTCCTTTTTTGCTAATTAGTAGACCAGTTCGTCTTTGTCTGTGTTGTGAGTACTATTTCTGGGGAACAATTTGATTGGCCAATGACTTGTCGCGCTTGCGATCTACAGGAAGTGGCGTCGACTCAATCAAATTTCAAAAAGTGATGTGTTTACCAGTTAATGAAATCTGATGCAACGTTAAGTAGAGCTTTAAAGCACAATCTTGCCGTGTTAAAAACGCAGTTTTAGTGGTGCTACAGGGGGACTTTAGATACCATTTCGTGTCGCTAAGTTGGTAGCTACTCTACTTAAACAGCCCACGGAAACATTGGATTCGAAATCGCTTAATTTAATCGCTTTAGGAGTCCTCTAATTTAGTCCCATTGGTGCTGATTGAGAAAATTTCAAGAACCGCGAATCGAAAGTGATTGGGCTCCAAACCTACCACCGGCGGTGCAACGTCTGTGCTGCCACGCCCTCGACCACACCCGTGGCGCCTCTCATCTGAGTCCCACAATGAGTTGCAAATTACATGACTTGTGCAGTACAACCTGTTTGTATTAGTAGTATTGGTCGGCCAGGACCGCATTTTAAGCGCGTTTCTGATATCAAGCACAGCAGGGGTGATAATTTGGCCAGTGACCACAAGGTGAGGAAGAGGAGGAGTAGGGATCGTCCAGCTCCAACGCACCCTCGCTAAAGCCGGCATTGTGGTGCACGCGCAAATCATAGAAATCTGGGAGTATAAAGTCCACGCACTGGCGGAGGGAGCGTACGTGAGCAATCTGGGTCGATTGTTCTACTGGTGTGGGGTGATTCGTGTTTGCCCTCGGTAACAAAGATTGTCTGGCGTGTATGTGTGTGTTTGTCAGGGAGCAGGCGGAATGCAGGAATGGCAAGTGTTGTACATGGGTGTCCGCGCGCCTCACCGCATGTCCTCATGCGGTGGCAGGGTGTCGATGGATTTAAGCGTGTCGAAGGGGCCATTCATTGAGTGCGATGGGAAGACGGAGAGGGAGGGCGGCATTGCCCCATCGCCAAAACCGCTTGAACAGGACACCATGAGGGGGAAGACACCCGCGTTGGTGGCTGCATTCCCATTGGTCGTGGCGGCAAGCATCGATTGGAGGAAGACGTCTTGGCTGGTGGGTGGCTGGGCGGTCGGATATCCCGTTGGAGAAGGTGCGAAGATGAGTCCGCCTGAACCGCCGTGGATGGACGGGGGGCGCATTGGGTAACCAGTCTGGCCGCTGATGAGCGAGGCACTGGCGTACTCAGCCATTGAGCCGTCTAGATTGTGATAACATCGGTTTTCAAGGGTGATCTTCACACATTGACGGACATAGAATTGCTTCATCACCGTCCTACCACAGATTTTAGCATTTGACAGTCCGCCATGCCAACTGGAGTTAATACTCGAGAGCCAGATGGTAATGTGTGTACTTATAGCTTGCCAGTAGGATTTAAAAGTTTGTAGAAATTCGCAACACAAATAGATTTGAGGTGGGTGCGATTCAACTAAGCAAACGGCATCACATTGTGATTATATTTGCCAAAAATAGTCACAAATATGTTCTTCCGCTTGAATATCCACTACAATTTTATCTTATCAAAAGTTATTTACACCCATTTCCTGACAAGACGTAGACACCGATAGTCCAAACACCTGAAAAGCATTTCATCGCATGGAGAAGTCGAATTCCGTAAGAGCAGGTAAAAACAGTCTTCCTTCCACTCGCTATGCATGAAATTGCCAATTATCGGCTTACTGGACAATTAACTCGTGGCTAATGCAAAGAGTTCGTGGGCTACACGATCAAACGTGCCTGAATTTGACAACGAAATATTGTGAAGACACATTTTTCTGCACATAAATTCGGTGGGTTAGGGACAAAGAGCGCGTAGAGTCAACTGGGTTGTCATGCCATTAAACGCGTCCACTCTACAGTAAATTAGGCGGTTAATTAGGGAAAGGTCACCACCCGTCTCCCCCCTCCCTCACCCCTGTTATCACGCACAAACAGGGCTGGAGGCATCGTAAAACGCATTTCTACAGGAAGTGAATTTATTTCCACCTACCCAGGGCGTAAATTCTAGCGGAGAAATAGTGGCCTTTCGAGTACGCTAAAGTGTGTTCGTGTGGGACATGTAGCATTTGTCACGATAGTTCCGTATAGCGCTTTAGTTTACTACACCGGTTTTGCTGGAACACTACTAAAAGTTTCAGACTGTCTTTGATGCTCTTAGGTTAGTGATTAGCTGCTGCTGCTGCTGCTGCTTACAGGGAAAAAACATTCGCTAGGTGTCAGTGCAACTTTTGGCGTGTGAAACGTGGCCTCGCTATACCTGGATCGATTGAGTTGTTGAAACTCCGACACCCGTCGCATACCAGGCCTCGGTACTGCCTCCACAGCACTTATGGTTGAAACGGAAGCTTGTTGAACCAAATACCCAGCTCAATAGACGTTTCCTTTGTCTCGGATTGACGCATTCCCATGTCGAATAAGTCCGCAACATCAGCCGAAAACAATTAACTCCAAAGCTCTACACCCGCCGGGCCTATCTGGTTTTTTGTGTGAAAGTAAAATAGGCATTTTGCGTTAGAAAACACCAAGCGAGGTTGAAAAACAGGAGCGTGAATCGCACCCACTGGCTGGGCGAAAAATCACTGGTTCCACAGGCAATTTTATTCGATTCTCCCAAGCCTTGAACAACTTTAGGTAGTATGGCAAACTAGGTATACCGGACTAGGGTGTACTTTTAGATCACGTCAAAATCACAAGGTGATACGGGACTATGATGGGTGATGACATACAAGTACCTTGCCACAAGCAATATTATTCCAAGTACCTTTGCTCCCGAGTGGATGATAAGTTGGCCAATCGTAAGGCCCAGTTTTGGGCCTGGAGTAAAACAGCTTGATTTGATTGGTTGAAATAAGCCACTACTCACCGGTATGCGTACTGGCCACCATAGGGGCCCCCCCTCCGCCTAGCCCCACATTCATCCCGTTGGAAATCATGGACACGGCCGAGGACGCCGCGTACGGGTTCACCGTGGAGCTGGGTCGATGAGTCCAACAGCTCATGCCCGAGGTGGGGGTGATCGGCGGAAGGGGTGGCAAGGGCTGGTCTGGCGGGGGTGGGGGGCGGGCCGATGGCTGGTAGAAGGACGACGCCGCTGCCGCGTTGCCCGAAGCAGTCAGTTGCGAAGCCCCGCCGTTCGCGGACAGGGTTCCGAACCCCGAGCTCGGCTGAAGAAGTGGCCGAAAGGCTGGATCATACGTCGACGTCTGAGGCTGGTGCATCATGTGGAGGGTCTGCAACATGCTCTCTAGAATTTACGAATATGGAACGTGAAAACGGCAGACCTTTGTTGGTGGGATCGACTGGCGCAGGGCATGTTCCCGCCTACGTTGACTTTGTCAACTGTCATCAAGCTGATTGGCTGATCTGATCTTAATCCCCATCGAACTAGTACTATACCGACATGTCTGGCCCTGGATCCTATAAACTACGAATTATTACAATAGCTGAATCAGGTATTGTAATAATTGTATCGGCGATTGTAAATGCTATTCGCTCGCATGCATATACATATATGCGGAGCGTGACAACATGACAGCTTGTCCTCCTGTGGTGGATATTTAATAAGGCCGTAATGTTTGGGAAGCTGAGAGGAACAGCAAACGCAGGCGAGTGGTTAGGGGATTTGAGTGGATTTCACCGTTAAAATCGTAGCCCCATTTGATGGAAGCAAGCCACCGTGACTTCACGGTCTAGTTGTTTCCCACTAATTTGTCCCAAATCGACCGCCTCGAGGCTCTCACACCGACTCCTCCGTCGACCGGCCACGGCTGCCGCTGCTACTCGTAAACGAGCTGACTCAACATACGGCTTTAAGCCGTATTTTGCGATTTGTTTGAGAGGAGAGAGAAAGAGGGAGGGGGTGGGAGGGTGTGTGGAAGGAGTGACTCTGCAGCCAACATCTCACTCGGACATGAATACGCCATGCGCGTCAGATGCCTCAGCTCCTCGCCTAATCAAACCGCCGAATCGGTAAAAATGTCCTCTATTCTGTGAGTGACGTCGCAGCCAATCCACTCGAGCTAGCACTTCGGGCGAGGGGTCAAAAATGAAAGTTGTTTCAAAACGAAGTGAGGACTAGCAAACCGAGCTTACCATTGGCGTTGAACGGCGAGTACATATCAGCTGATTTACTCGACGGCGGGATGTCATTGGCTGCCATTGTATTGGCGAGGCAGTAGGCATTGGTGGTCGAGGTCCCCCCACCGAAGGCCAAAAACCGTCCGTCTCCACTAGCCGGTAGAACCCCGTTGCCTCCATCGAGGAGCTTCGGCTTGTGACCGCCGCTATCAGTGCTTCTGTCAGCCGCTGAGGCCTTGCCTGTCAAGGCCTGGTTGCCACGGCAACCACCGCGGCACAGGCGACATAGGACGTACACGAAGACGCTCACAATGAGGATGAGACCCACCACGCAGACGGCGCTGATGATCAACGAGAGGTCCGCGGTTTCGTCGCCTGAAGGGGACCTGGCTTGAGGAGGGGAGAGAGCACCCCCGAGTTGTTGCGACCGATTGGCGAAAACTGCCACGGGAGCTCCAAACGTGGGTGCTGAAAATATGAATTAGCGTTGACATTCCGATGGCTTTGGTGCTTCCAAAACAGATACTGAAGATCATTGAGAAATATTAGGGGTAGGACCTAATTCTTGCAGGTCTTTCTTCCAGCTTAAAATCATATTTAAAATAAAAACATTTTTTCGCGATCTGTTGTGGTTTTGAAGGGCTGCACGCAATGTTTCAAAACGCCGAACGACAAGTCTACGTGAGTTGCGTAACCCAAACAAAATAAGTTTATTATGGCAACTAATAAATAGCGCCTTCAGCACTGCATTTCACAAGAATTTGTAGTGTTCATAGGAAACGCGTAATTAATGGTAAAAACTGTTTAGAAGTGGTGACTTCGGTATCAGTGACCAACTGCACCCTGGACAACAGCCTCGAAAGTTCGAAGATGCGGAGTTGCAAGCTCTACTGGATGAAGATTCAACCGAACGGAACAAGAGCTTGCAGCTAAGTTTGGAATCACCCAAGCAGCTACTTCCAGGCGTTTGCACCACCAAGTAGGAAAACTTCAAAAACTTGAAATTTGGTTGACCGAACACAACCTAGGTCAATGTATGAACATTTACTTTCACTGCTTGCCTGCCGGCATCTAGCAGTAAAAGGACTTCTTATGGAATATTGTGGCTGGTGATGAAAAGCATATTTTCTGTTACGAGAATCCCAGACGTAAAATGTCGTGGGTAGATCCCGGGCAACCGAGTACATCGGCGCCGAAACAGGACGTGTCTGTGTGTGTGTGTATCTGGTGGGACATGAAGGGTGTACTATTTTATCACGAACTCCTGGAAACTGGTCAGACAGCGACTGCGGAACGCCACAGCTGACAATTAAACAAACTAACCGAAGAGGCCAGAGATCAGATGGCCATTTACTGGGCAAGGAAGCAGGCTAATCATATTGCCACTGCATGACAACGCACGACCACGTCACATTGGTCGCTCGACTCAGGAGACCCTCTTGAACTTGGGATGGGAAGTTCTCCCACACGCGGCATATTCACCAGACTTAGCCTCCATCCGACTAGCATTAGTTGCGGTCAATGCAACAGCACGCCTTCGTGGCTTTATTGCCTCGAAGCTTGCAAGCTACTTTTGCAACGGCAACGTCATAGAATACGACAGCCGATATTCCCAAGATTAAATTCATTGATCTCTATTTTTTGTACTAAACAAATATGCTGAAAATTTTGTTAAAATTAAGGCATACATCTAATAGGAATAATTCCAGGATTCAACGAGCAGCTGATCTGACCAGTAAGTGGCAAGACATCAACATTTCCCGGACTTTTACTGGTTTCAATGTTTTTACCCTCCGTTGCTTTATTCTGTGGCTACGAATGATAAGGACAGCATTTGGAATCGACTTGTAAACGCTTGTTGGTCAACAAATATATGCCCACGGGACCTATTATTCGAATGGAGCTCATCGATTGGCTGTTGGAGGGACAGCACAAGGTCATTTTCAAAGAAAGTGTGATTTCGGAAACCGATGAGCCAAGGTTACGTGGGGTTAAATGTGTTTGATTGGCATTTGAAAGGGAACCCCAGAGCTGTTGGCTGAACAACCCAATCAATGTGATAGGGTGATGCCACGTCAATTGCATCAAGCAAGATCAAGCCCTCAATTTGGTGGGATTACCTTGAGTGTGGTGTGCCTTGAGATGCATTCTGAAAACCGAATGGTCAATACAGGAAGCGATCAAGGTAAAGTGGCCAGCTTGGTAAGCTGTGAAGGAAATGTGTTGCGCTTAGACAATGCAAAGGTTCACTGGTAAAAAATCATCGATGCTCAGTTCTTGCTCCATCAGATTACCTTCTATTTCGAATTTTGCAGAAGTCTTTGGCTATGAGGGCTTGAATTCTCTGAGCATGAAGTCACGAGGTTGGAGGAAAGACACTAAGAGGTCATCGGACAGCGTGGAAGATGTATATTTGCTTGGAGCGCATTATTTGAACATAGAAAACTGAGTTCTAGTTCACGCCACAAAACCGAAATTACTGTCGCGCCAATCTGCCATAGGACCCATTCTGTTTGCTGAGAACGTGACTCACGCAGACTCTCCTCTAGCCAACAATTTCTTTTAGTTCAAATTGGTATGCAGTACTACGCGGACCTCGGCATGCGTAATAATGCAGAAGGGAATCCACCGTCAGCCAATGATAATAAAATCAGCCCAAAGGAACGGACCCACTGCCTGTCTTCGATGAAAGCGTAAAAACACAGCCCCGTGTTTGTGTGTGCACACGACTAAATCAGTAAAAAAAACCGAGGCTTGGCAGAAATGCACGCACAAACGAGGAAGCAATTCAAGGGACGCGCACGTCCTTATTACCATTTCATTTTCGCCTTTAGTGAAGCGTTTGCTAGAATAAATTAACGTGCCTTTATGGTCATTGTAGGAGGCAGTAGTGGTACCTGTGCTAACCGAATCCTGGCGATGTCATTGGCAAGGCATATTTGCCCAACCAAACACGCAGACCTCCCTCGTACGAACGCATGACACGTTTATGGCGCCCTGGTCAGCGTGCAACCGAAGTATGCAGGGGTCAGACAAGTGCATGTCTTATTTGGAGAAGCAGAAGGAGTTCCAGAGGTGTCTAATCAAATTCAGTTAAGGTGGGGAGGAGGGAATTCAACTACTACGTGTCCCGGGACGTGGAACCACTGGCACCAGAAAATTACAGCGTTCTAGAACCGATTTATCCTAATAAACGAGGCTAGAACTCACGGGTTTTGAAAGCCATTTCGGCTTGGAAACACCCCAAATATTGTTGCATCTACGAAACGACCCACTTAGTAAAAAATAAACCGTGGAAAACAGCAATAGCCCGCAGGAAACGCAGTTTTTTAAGAAATAAATATATGCAGTCATTCCGTACTGCATCCACATCAAGGCTGTATTCAATTTTTCTCACGCACCAAGACGAGATAAATTGTCCCACGGTTCGTGGGGTAGGGAACGGAAGGTGACTAAAGAATGGTCGAGTTGCGTGTGTCTTACGGAGAGCAGATCGGAACTGTCTACTCGGTTCCTCCACCCCTCCCCACCCCACCACACCCCACACGAACTCCTCCGTTTAATACCGTCGCATGACAGAGAACTGCACTGCGGCGTGTCGATTTTATCGTCACTGGCGACGAATGGGTAAGTGTGTGGGTTATTGGCGGCGGTGGCGGCGGCGGCGGCGGCGGCGGCGATGGTGACGACGCGTGAACCTGATTCGCTCGAGTTGATTTGACGGCAAAAAACGACCCAGACTTGGGTCACCTATTTGTGCGCCTCTCAGTCTGATGCCCCAGCTCTTTAAGCACTAAATTTGCCCAGCTGGATACCAAAACCGGCGATAGTACTGCGTTTCCCTCCGTCTGGAAAGCTGACACCGCGCAGTTCCTCTTGTTTGGAGCACAGGAGTCACCGAAAACTGGTGGAAAAAAAGGACATTTCCCGAAAATTATACATCCGTTCAATCGGGTCATAAAAGCTTGAAGAACTGCCGGATTAAACTTCGCGCGAACCAAACTTTATTGTCATTGGCGACTTCAGAGCCATAGTTAATTAAACTTGAGCATGTATGAAATCCATTAAAACGGAGAATTTAAGAGTGCGTACGTGCCACACAATGCCACGGCAGCAAGAACCTGTTTACGACGGCTAAGTTTTATGGTGAACACTGCAAGAGGCTCAAGGTGGTTCCACAACCAGACTGGATCCCAGGACTTAGCTGGGGGCTTGTTGCTGGTCACGAGTAATGTCCACCGGAAATTGGCAATGTGACAGTTTGGGAATCTGTGTCCTACGGAAGCGTAGTGTGCAAATCAGACTAAACAAAATATCGCTGGTTGCCATGGTCTTCCTTGGAATTAAGACTAGGTGCTTTCGATAAACTTGTTATGGAAAAGAGGAGTGGGCCATTAGAGGCTGGAGAATGTTCGTTTTGACCACCTGGCAAAGCAATATAACTGACAGCAAAAAAGGCGATGCCTTGAACTTGATGAAAATCAAAATATTTGACTTTAACAAAATCTTACAAAAATAACAAAAAGCATGTCGAAATTCCAATGCCTCCAACATTGCAGTTAGGAATTTTTGCCAGTTTTTCGATCGCCGTATTTTTCCACAAAATGGGCCAATAGGCATGTTGAAAAATGGTAATAAATTTTCGATGAATTGCCGAGTTTGGGGCTTCCGAATGTTTTGCACTTTACTTGAAAATTTTTGTGCTCTGAGTTGTGATATTTTGACCGAGCCACTCACTTTTCCATCAACGTAAATTGCAATTTCGAAATTACAGAGGTCCCCTCTGTTAGTTGGTAAACGAAAATTGCCACTGCCACCAACACCACCACAACCTATCAACCGCGCCGACAGCGAAGGGGAGATACGGTTAATTTTGATGCCTTTGAAATCGCAAAAAAACAAATACCTAATTTACGCTCGACTTCTCAGCACATATGTGTATATGAAACCGCGAAAAGCGAGTTACTGCGAAGAACCGAACATCTGTGGCATCGGCTTATGACAATGGTCCAGTGAGATACCCAATTTTTCGCATGACGATTATCCACAGTTCTGCAGGCCTTAACACAGCCGCCAAACCCCAAAAATAAGTCAAGTTGGATCCTAGAGGCGTAGCTAAATATTAACTATGGGAGTAGAAATTCGGCTTAATTGGTTCCAAATTTACACGTTGGCTTTCTAATAAATTTTGGGGAACTAGTTGTACTCCTCAATGAGTTCATGGGGGGCAGGACTGAGGTCTGAACCACAAATTTGCATCCATTTCTTTTGTGTTTATAACTTGGGAAGTCACACGTAGACAAGGTCACGAAACTTACGTTTTGGCCCAAAATTTTGCGAACTGACAAAATGGCACGTTCATTTTTAATTAATTATAAGAACTTGAGCAGGCTGGTTGCTATTTCAAGTAAAAGAACGCTGTAACCACCAAATTTTAAGCTGCAGTTGATGAAACCATATTGCAATTTCCCCTAGTTGTTTAAAATGAATGCAAAATTCGAAGTGAAATGCATAACAAAAAACTCGATCTCATACATCGTAAGTACATGAAGGTTTAAACAGCCTAATTAGGTGGGTTTGGGCTTGTAGAACTAAAATTAAGGATTAGTCGACTTAATTCCGAAGAAATATAGAAATATGCAGGTAATTCCTCGTTCCTGTTCACACGTCGAAGTCACTAAATTATGAGTAAGAAATCACGACAATTGACCTGAGAAATTATGATGCAATAAAAGCTTAATTCACAAGGTCATTTGGTGGTACAATAAAACGATTATGAAACAACGAGCAGCTAGTTTCGAAGATTGCAAATTTTCGGCAAAATGCCGTTTAGAGTAGTTCATTATTTGATACTGGCTTAAACGTGATTCCATATTCACTATCTAATCCACGTTGAATTAAGCCTGTGCGAAATTATTGTTTTTTGTTCGTTTGTTTGTAGCGCGCAAAAATCAAATTCACTTGCGTGCGCGTAGCGACCAATAAAATGTACACCTATAGAAATGTTAGCATTAGCATAGAATGACTGTTTACACATTTGAAACACGAGCGGGTAAACTTCTGAAGGCCTTTTTGCCACGAGAACGATGCCTTTTCTTAAAATTAACTAAAGCAAATAGTCGTGGGAAGTGACTGATGTCACTATGTGAAATAATTATCACGTCAGGTAAGATGTTTTATGACACAAATTTCACCACACAGATTTCCTTCAGTGCTGAGACGTCTGGAAGTGGGAATAATGCCTTAAAACTTAATAAAACCTATACGCTTATCTGATGCCTGAGAACACCCACGATCTAGCTACATTGCAAGTACTGACAGATCCTCTTACCATCGTTACGGAGATTATACAGCCTGGAGGTACGTGGAAGTTAAGAGGTTAGATCTTATGCTGAAGGTCGCCCACGATTCCATGCAGTGATTTAAAACAGCCAGTGGCGTATCACGAAGCCTCGTCTCGAGATCTCAAACCACCAGATGGCAGTGTTAGAAAAGGGGAGCCGCAAATTACAGCAGATGGTTCATTACTGAATTAACAATCCAAAAATCTGACGAGAATTAAGCGAGGTTTGTGCTAAACGAGGCGAACCGGCCGCGGCCGCGACTCCATTATTCTTTTTCCTGCACACAAGCGACTAAACGGTTGGAAGCTCCTGGTCACCGAGTCATATCAGTAGCGAGACTCAAGACTCAATCAACGTGGATGGTCTTTTGGGCGAGTTCTGCGTTGGACGACCCAGGGAAAGCTGATAACGCCACACAACTCGACACGTTTGCCAGTGTGTGGATTTAAACTCTTGGATCGAGTAATTAGGTAATTGAGCTGACGATTGTGCAGTTTAATGTGTAAAATACGAAGCGGCCTAAATAAAATGGTAACTATAAAATAACCGAAGACTACGATACATGAACTACTTAAGTGCGGCCATTAGAATTGATCGAAACACTTAACCCAATGACCTATCGATAAACAAAGCAGGTCATACTCACGTTTAGGGGAGGGAAGCGGAGTAATCGGTGACTGGGACAAGACGCCCTTTTCCTCTTCGTCTATATTCGCTGTGAGTAGAGCTGTAAGGGAAAGTAGGTGTGTTTAAGACAGGACAGGTCCCTGGTACAAGTCCTTAAAAAAAATCTTGTTCTGGAATCTTCTTTTATGGATTTCGAAGCTAAGTAGACAAGGCAAGGTGATTCGAAACCCCAAAATAGTTCTAAACACAGGCTACAGTCTCGTCTACCCTTCTTTCACGCCCTCAACAGAAGATCAACTCAAACAGGGAGTCGGTCTGTTATAATTAGAGGGCCGCTGGACAGAAAACGTGTTGTCCAACTTCCATTTAGACAAGCAAAAAAAAGAAATGCTCAATGAAACTTGTGATTCACAGTGCAGAGAAAGACTTTAATGTTAAAAAACGAGCCCGTGTTAATTTTTACGTGAGCCTAAGAAGAAGCCGAAAAGAAGGATGTTTGAATCCATGACTCAGCTACAAAAACAGACTAAATCTACAAAAGGATCGCCGGAATTTCCAAAATAGAAAGAGCCGAATCGAAGATGTTATGTCTAAAATCCTAATTCGGAAAAACATTGCCAGAAATTGGGGGAAATGATACGATTCTGCTCAACGGACGTTCAGGACCGTAGAGACGTGGACTTCGTTGCATTCACAAGCACACAAACCTCACAGGAAGGTGTTTCAGCAGCACATCTTCGTGGTCCCCTCACCACGCCCAAAATATCCACGGGAAATCACAGTTGGCACGGCAGGGTTCACAAGGGCGAAAAAAATGCACGTCTTCCTCCAGGAACCACGAATCCGCGATGCACTCGCCGATGCATAAAATTAGAATTTCCGGCTCACGGATCTCTCCTGCACTACAGATTTACGCATGCGTAACCGCGCAAGGGCAATTAAGATAAAACCAGAAGTGGCCATCGCCAATCAAGAACTACCCCACCTTCGGAAACAGTAGAATGAGCAGGCTTCGGAAGGAGTTACGATTAGGGGATGCAGACGGTGCCACAAATTGATGTGAGACCAGAGGCTGACGATGTGTTCCGAGGGAAAAACAGTTGCTGGATTCCATTAGATTGGCCTGACTATTTGAAAACCTCACTGAAGAGTGCATTGAACATTAACGGGAGAAATAAAATTTATGTAACGTTGTTTTCAATGGTGATTTTTAAAAAAAATATCCGCGAAGTTTGCAGTGCACCTTTAACCGCTTTCTTGTGATTTAGACAAATTTTCAACAGATCTGGAAAAGGGGGCAAATTAGACCGGAAAAGAACTTGGAATGGTCGTTAACTTTTGACCCAAACGCAGCAAATAATCCTCGGCCAGACAAAAGTGCCAATATGGCTGGCGTTAGAGAGGTAATCTGAAATGGAGGTCCTTGTATCTGTGCCGCCCCAAGGTTTGCGATGGGTCCAGCGAGCAAATGGCACAGTTCCCAGGTCTTGTGTAGTCAAGCGGTGATTTCACTTGGTTGATTGATTATTAAGAGCGAACTCCCAAATTGAAGGAGGACTGTGGGTGCACGGGTATTGGACGCAACTGAACAAGTTGTGTCAAGGAAGTTCGACGCACAGGCCTTCGTAACAGCTACTCATGGTGGTGTAGTCCTCTTAACGATCCACACGAAAAGGCACACCCCGAAACCAGTTGAAGCAGGGGCCTAATCAACATTTCATTTGACTGGCTCACCCTAAGTGCCTATCAAGCGTCGTCGAATTGATTAAAATTCCCCGCGTGGTATCATAGGTATGCAAATTCGCCATTACACCAACCACCCCCATCCCCCCCCTGACACGCCGAACCAACGAACACCGAGTCAGACCAACGCGGCGAACACGTCCGTCAAATTTGCATGAAAGGCCGTGTGACCCACTGGCCCTAGCCTCTGCCTGTCGTAACGTGGACCAATCGAATCGGTTGTGGCTAAAATAATGAAAGGGAGCGCACATTGTCACCACCTGCGAAATAGGCTGAGCGGGATTAGTGGCTGAGTCGTGAAATTTCAGTCAAATTACGCGAAACCGACATGACGGTCGCGTGAATAACAAAAGCGAGCAGAAACACCGACTCCAGCCGAATTCCTGAACCTTGACAGCTACATAAGGCGATAGAATCGTGCAAGGAGTAGACGAAACAAGCGGGGGTTTGGAGCCTGTCATTTGGTGGCAACATGGCACCCTCAGTTTTGATGTTCCGTAACTTTGATAAGACATGCAGAGGAAGGTAGCTAGGTAACTGAGTAAACCAGCATTGATGGCGGTCGTTCGTTTGTGCAGTCGCATCCAAAGCAAATTATGAATTCCCAGTAAATGAATGCCTGCATATTCTTTGCATGCGAAGTTATTACGAAGCGAAATTTTTCTGAGTTGCACTTTTCACCACGAAGTCAGGAGAAGCGAAAGTGTCAGAGTGGAATTCGCGCATGACGCGTTCAACAAGGTGGCGATAACATTTGCCTAACGACACCAGTGGCCTTTCGAACTTGTCACTACTGTCAACTAGGCTGAAATTCCTGCCCAAACGAAACAGTGAATTGTGTTTTAGCATTTCAGTAAATGCCCCGGGCCACCCGAGTGCACAGCTAAGCGTTGCGACCGTGCTGTGCGCGGTTCTTGGTCTGAAGAAGTGGGTAGCCATCTGAAGTCGATTAAAAAGTAATTTGCACGGCGACGCCGGGTTAATGGCGTTGAGGTGGTACCATGGAGGTCACATACACGGATACCGGGATAAATTTTCAACCATTTCCTGTCCCAGTCCATAAATGCACACGGCAATTGTGAGCATTTAACGAGGCAAGGAACTGGTGATGAACAAGTCGCCAGGATCGAATTTAGAATCGCATTTCCGTATCGCTAGGGCGCTGATCTCATCAACCGCGAAAGCGTTGTCAGTTCAATCCAGATAAGAGGTGAAGAATCAGGTGCGATCCTGCCGTGGCCGATAACCGTGCAATCTGCAAGGATTTATCGGTGCTATGAACTATCCGAGGGCAGTGCTAGTCCGGTCATCGCATAAGTGGGTGCTGGCAGGTGACATTCAACCCGTATTCTAGTTCAGTGATGTCAAGGGTTACTCCGTCGTCTAGCAACCGCCAGGTTGAAGTTACCCGGGTCAGCCTTAAGTGAGGCGTGACCTAAACAGATGGCAGACTCCAACATGGCTTCAGGGAAGGCATTCAGAGCCTCAATTGCGCCTACTTATACAGCTTTAGATAGGTGCTTGTGTGAACTGAAGCTTTGAACAAATTTGACGCTAATCCATTCACTTTTGCAGAGACTGGGACTAGCCAAGAAACTTTCGTTCCACCTCGCAGGGCATTTGATCATTTCACGGTGAGAATCAAGATAACAAGTTATCGACTAAGTGAAAAATGAAATAACTTTTAGATGTATTCGGCAGCGAGGAGTCAACTGGAAATGATGGTGATGTTGATAGTGGCAAAAATGGTGACGTTACGGGTAAGCCCGCATGACAGGTGGAACATGTGCGACCTGAATGCACGTGCTGGCGCAGAGGGAGTAGGGGGAAGACAGGGACTTAGTCATCTTGGACATAATCTCTGGGGTGAAATGGACAGGGTCAACCGTGAACTAGCCTGACCCCTGGCGATGGTATGCCAGCAACTGAGCGTAGCTGTCCAAATGGCTCGTGGGTGGTCCTGTGAATACTTAAATTCCCACTGCTATTGGGCTTGGGGATCGCGTCCAACATCGAAACCCACGCACGAACATAATCAAACCGGCCCAGGTGGAGCCATTAACTCCACTGACGAATGCGGAATGCGATATGCGCCCAGTGCGTGTCCATTATTGCGTCTTTCGTTGAATCGACGAATACGTTGACCTACTAAGACGCAATCCCTCGAAGCATTAATGTGATAGGCTTAACTTGCTTTGCAAGATGCAAGCCTTCGAGATTTTTGGTACAGGAGTTCAGAATAATGTTATGAATGAGCCTTAGTTAAAACAAAACTCTATTTGGACAGCTGATAAAGGAAATGATAACATCCAATATCGCAAAAGAATGCTTCAGCGGTCAACAGGGAAGATGCCCTTGATTACGGCGAGAGATAGCAAAGCCTTTCGGGAACTGGACGTGCATAATTCACGATATCCAGGCCCTGACATAACATAACACAACAAACTGGATAGCGTAGTGAGAAGTAGGGAGCTAGGTTGATTAGGATATATTGAAAGCCTGATCTATTGCAGATTAAGATAAGTTGCCAGACTTTAAAGAAAACGAAATTGCAAGGGATTTTCCTAATTTACCCAAGCAAATATTGTAGGAATGGGAAACCTTGATCATGGAGATGGTCTTACAGGATCAGCGTCTCCTGAAGATTGTGGCTTTCTGGAGCATTTAGTTTTACTGGAGATACAACTTCTAAATTTCCCAAACGAGGTTTCACATGGCGATAAATAGAGTGCTATTTCCATTTTGAGCTCGTCGTTGTCTCCGATTCACAAGGTGGTGAGATGGAACTGACAGTTGCATCCGCTGCTCCAACAAACCGACTTCAATTCAATGAAGTTACAAAGCAACGGAGGCCGGAAAGTGGCTCTCATCAAGCTAATTCAATGTACGCATTTGCACGCACACACACACACACACACACACACTAAACAATAGCTACGTTGAAATAAACAGCTTGATTCCAATTTAATTATGCGTCAACTTCTACTGCCGCGTCTGGACGCAACACCGAGAGAGGGGCAGAGGGTGGTGGGTGGCAGTAGGGGTGGGGTGGGGTGTGGTGGGGGTGATGCTCAAGAAACACAAGCAGGGCTGCAATAAAGCACTTTTTCGTGTTTATATGGGACACAATCACCCTATACATTCATGTGTGCAAACATGCCGTAACACATGGAGGAGGCACGCTCCGGTATTCGTCCGCGCGTGCGTGCGTGTGCGTGAATGCCTTGGATGGAATTAATCTCAGAGTCGCGAGCGCGCTAATGACTCACATCGCCAGGGGACGGAGGGGGGGGGGAGGGGACGGGGAAAGGAAAATTCGCCCTAAACTTCAAATCCACTGTGTGTGTGCGCTTGCGTGCGTGCGTGCGTGCGCACGTGTGGGCTTAGCATCTGAATAGGTATTTTTATTATGATGATGTATTGACGACACTAAAATCCCCAGCCCCCGTCCCCAGTCTCTCTCAGAAGTTCAAAGTCACGGTAACGGTGACGAATGCAAGTTGTCATTAAAAGAAGGTCGCCCGGTGTATAGGTAAAGCGTCAATTCAACACTCAACAAGGCGTCAGCAGTACTCCCGCACCGGTGTTGATGGTGTCTACCTCACACATTCATCTCTTCCAAAGGTTACAGTCTACAGTCAAGCGCTAATTATAGTGGAGCCTTCCTCGACTAGAGTTGTGCACAATTCATCTGCGAATTCTCGTGACTGATTCAAACACGTGGTTGGCTCATGTTTCATTACAAATTTGGAATCGGATGATGTCTGCTGGTGTAGCGAATGAGCTTAATTTTTAACCAATTATAACGGCCCATTGTCTACTGGTAACTACCCCATGCAAATCAATTTGCTTAATTAATAACTACCATCATCCAGGAGTTAATGATGGAGACAAAAGTTAGCGGAAGGGCGTTTTTTGCCTACGACTTTAATTGAATGCTGTTATTGTGTATGAGTAGGCGTACAAATGTGACGTTCAATTAACAGTCAAGTCGATAAGAGCCAATAAGTGAGCATCCGCTCAAACATGGCAAGAATAATCGCGGATTACCTTAATCGCAAAAAACTATCAACATTGAACTGTATAAGTAGAAACAATTTTAACACCAGATAATTTGAATTTAACAACACCAAGAGTGCAGTTAACCGGTTCAGTGAGACGTGCTGAACAAGTCGAAATTAATGTCATTTCAGTGTAACCAATGGCAGTTATTCCCCGGCAACGAATATGAGACATTCTAATTGAAGGCACCATAAACGGGCGGAAAAAATTAAAAGATTACCAATAAACGCTTAACAGCATCTTCATTGGCTAGGCTCGTAATCGACAAGGAATGATAGTGCAATGAGCTCACTTGAGTTAAATGCAACCTCAGACAGAATGATCCAGTCGCTGTCGAAGGTGAGTATCAGCCTCACGAAGCGTCCAACTCGACCGTTAAGTGGAATAACCACCCAGGTTGGTTGTGAGGAGGTGACGTTGCGCTGATACTCGTACAACACAGGTGGACCGTACCGATCAAACAGGCGGCCGCCCACACTGAACTGCACAAGCGCCTCCCGGAATACGGCTATGTTCTCCGAGAAGGAATTCAGGGCGTGGATTCGCAACTCCGTGAAGTGTCGAACTGGAAAAAAGAATGGAGCAATGGTAAAAGTCAACTAGACCGTTCCATGAAGTCAATAGTGCTTTTGCACCCACCAAGGGATAAGCACCACGCTACCCCGGTTAATCTGAAGTAGCATCCTTTTTGGCACAATTGAAGTTAAATTGAAAAAAGCATTCTGTCTTCGGAATTGGGTCGATTTCCTTGCCAACCAGCCGTAACATGGCATCGCTTTTGGGCTTGTTGTTGCATTTTACTAAACAAAGACAGCAACAGAAGTGGAAGAAAATTCTTCCCAGCGCAGGTAAGTGTTGGCCGAGGGAGCGAGGTGAGGTAAGGCGCGATAAATACGTAAATTCAATTTGCTGAAGACTGCTAGCACCCACCCCTAACTACGTGTTCTACAGTTTAGACAACACCAAATTGCTTGTGTTATCAGGTTAGACACACACACACATTTAGCACTTTGTCCCACTTATCTGCACCCCATCACTTTACTACGTGCATAATCCCCTAAAGCGGGCCATATATCTACGTAATTACGGGGGACTTGGGAAATAAGTGGCACAGAAGTCGCAGTGAAAAGCACTTGTCCACTCAACTGGGTTCAGCACTGCGCTAAGTCAGTCGGTTCCCCATAACAATATGTTAATTCAGCCCTCTATAAAATTTGCAGCGAAGTGACCAAGTTATTTGGAAGTTTTTGCTGGGTAAACCTACAGCAAGTACTTAACCGAGTTAAGAGACACGTCCTGTTTGCATGAGGCTCGAAATCTTCAAGAAAGCGCGCAACATCGCAATTGGTAGGAGCTCAAGTGGCATAAGCTTCGTTATTTCATATTGGAAAAATAAGTGAATACTACTAGTAAGCTACAGTCGACTTGACAGGAAATTCTAATGACGTTGCCTGAACATTCACATTATCATAGGTGTAGGAAATCATTAAGAAGACGAACATGAAGTGGAGAAAGACCCAATTGAGGGATGCTTATGATTGCTAACGCAGAATCGACACTACGATTGAAAGAAACATCGGGGTTTCTACCGTACTCCCACAGCCCGATTAGGCAAAACAAGCACACCGAATAAGATTCATACCCCCCCAACAACAATGGGAATTGGGTGGTGGTTATGTAGTTCTTAGGAAGCCCCATGATCTGTTCGCGGCTTCGGAGTGTACCCCCTCACAGACAGTCTCCCAGGGACAGAGATAACTGTTCTCCCGCACGCACTCGCACACGTGTGACTCACGTGTAGTTAAGTTATCGGAAGTTAACATTAATCACGTTACACGGAGGCGGCGGCACTGTGTACATGTGCACACATGAGGAGGCCGAGTCAATAGAATGCTTGTCTCCACAAAGGGGTGAGGGGAGAGACAATGCATCTTGCCTATTCACCACAGAAACAGGAACACCTAATTAGAACCAGGAAAAACCGCAGGTTGTAGAATTCCAACCGAAGCCGCCTAAAGCATTGTTAGTCACAAAAAAACATGCTTGGAAGATTGAGATGGCCCGTTCAGTTCAAAGTAAGGAGGCGAGATCACTTTTAGGTGCACACAGACCACGAATTAAGTTTCAAATAGTGACAAACCAAAATAACGTGATTTACGGGAAAAACACATCGCATCTACCTCGATCGCCCAACCGGGAGTCGGAATGTCGGTAAACTTGAATCGTTTCTGTTAAGAATTTCGGGGAAATGGCACAGGAGAGGGGGGGGAGGGAGCATGACACTTATGTGCTAAAGTCTAAAATTCAAATATGCAACGCCATTATAGTAATGAAAGTGAAACAGTTGCCTCCTGGCAAATCAAAGGGTGCAGGCGCTCCGCAGAGCTCGGTAACAAATGGCGCGGCTGTCCGCAAGCAAACACCATCAAAAGCTCGGGGATTCTGGGAGGGGGGGGGACGGGGCAAAGTTAAAGTTCACAAAAATGCATCAGGGAGGCAGGCCTGCGCGACCAGCGATTGGGGTGAGTTTTCGCGGAAAAAAACGCATAGACATAGATAACGGCTAACGTGGAGTTAGTCTCAATTTGAAAATGGCGGTCGAAAGTCCACAAAAGCGGGGTGTGCACTGACCTACGTCTACAACAGAGCTAACTGCGTGACTTTGGTGGTTTTGTAGCCCCATTTAGTGGTTATTCAAATTACATTCTCTAGACTTGCTTAGTTAGGATTGATGCCATTAGGAAAGCCACCGCAGCAGAAATCGGATTATTCCGGCAAAGCACGGAGAACATGGCATCGAAATGATGGTTACGACAGGACACTACGACACACAGATCCTCTAAATGCAGAAGCGAACAGAATTAACTCGTGAACTGGTTTATTCAACCAAATCCTACGCCTTTAAGCCGAAACTGCATAAACAGACGATCATGGCCAGAATAGATGCTAATCAGTTCGGAAGAATACGGTGCCAGTTGTCCCAAAATATGCCTTTTTCTGCAATTTATGAAACCGAAAAGCTACTTTAATCATCGTGGAAACCTAACAACTCCCTGTACCAGAAGCGAGTGCCTGAGGATCAGGTAACGAGTTGTATTTTTCACAAATCAGCTTCGTGCCTTGAGAAGCAACCCGCAAAGTCAATCGGACTATACCAGTAATGTGAATAAATTCCCTGCCAATATCTGTATGTTGACAAAATTAAAGTTATGAATCTATATTCTTTGTAGGCTTTAAATATTCACCTGTTTAACGTTACTGTAAAGACAGTTATGTCACGCCAAAAGTTTAGCTTAGCGCCTAACGACGGCCACAAAGTCGTGTTTACCGGCTGTGAGTTCCAAATACCGCGTCAATAATTCAAGAACGTGCTCCAATTGGTTGCCCGGTGGAAACAAACTTTGCAATAGCTGGTGGCTTGTCTAAAGTTGGTAAATAAGGAATCAGTAGGGCGGATTTAGAGGCTATAGACCAATTGCCTGGTGGTTCAGTAACAACATAAATTACAATCAGCCGTCACAGGCTTTGAAACTTTATATGAGGTATTCTATGGGTTTGGAACCAAAATCTCACCTGATTCAAATGCAAACAGCAGACTGACATTCCTTGATTGGCATGGCGGAGATAATAGAGACGGCGGCAGACCGGATCGACAAAACCAGCCAACAAGGCCACTGAGCGTTTGACGGCTGTCCCGGGGCATATTTCGAAGGGAAAATGGTGCTTCGAGAGCACGTCGGATTTCACCGCCAGCGTAAATACGGCCATCGACCAGTACCCCCAGACCACCAGCCAGAAGGCCCCGATGACTTCCGCCAGCAAGTAGGGATGTCCGTTTTGGAGACCGGTTTCCGTCGTAGGAGGAGTCGTTTAGAGCGGCCCATGTTACACCCCCGGCTGGACTTCGGTAAATGTCGCCTTCCGGTATCTCGTAGCTTAATATAGAGGCTTAAAAGGCACAAGGCAGAACGTCAATCAGGGGCTAACATTGCAATTACTGCTTATTGTGTGCACGAGAGAATCTACCTTCGAAGGCGTGTCCCAGGACGGAAAGTTTGAGGCACATTAATTGAGCGTGGTCCCCTCGGTAGGGCACAATGCGCAGACGTCGGGCGGTAATGGGAGGAGAAAGGGTTATCGTCTTTGGTTGACTATTATCTTGATTTGCCACAATAAGCTGAAAGAGTTTGTGGGAGACAGTAAAAAAAGGACTGAATTATAGGCTGGCCTTTTCTCCCACATTTATTAACACACCCCACCGGGTGAATTAAAACTTCTTGTGAGACATTTGGTCAATTAACCAATAGGAATAAAAGTGTTGAGTGAGTATTCTTTTCTCGCTAGTTTAAAAGTTCCCCAGAGCTATACTTCATTAGACGTGCCAACCAACCAAATGGACTGGCGATGATGAACACGATTGCTTGTTTGCGATTTCTATTTTCAGTAAGATGAAACCAAACTTTGGAAAAATCAAAACTGACAAGCGTCATTTGATTGGCTGGAATTGCGCGTACTGATCGAGAGCTGATAGCCACGACAGAGTCAGAGGGCTACTAAGATTGATTCACCACAACAACAGACAACCAAGATGACGTCGAGAGTCGATTTCAATCGATGAACAATGTTGCGTTGTTACAAAATGGCTTGACCGAAACCCAATCGATGGTCACAGGGGCGTTTTGGGAGCCTGGGAGACGCGAACGCGGTTGAGGCGGTCGGTCGGCTACTTCAAACGTCAAACGGCATGGGAATGAAAGAAACGGGTCTGCCGGGGTGGTGTGAGTAGATGGTGTGTGGTACAGTCTCCCGTCATGGTTACAGCGCGAGGACGTACGTGTCATGACTCATGATGCATGGGCAACACACCCTCCCCCACTGTGGACAAAGCGCTCAAGCACAACCACTGGTGGTTGGACGCTCAGGGTTCTTTCTACTTCCATGGTCAAAGAAGGCACAGCTTCACATTGGCAAAACAAACGGCGACTAATACCGCCTTGCTTACCAGGTCCCTAAATGTGCCACAGGAGGGGGGACCGAAAACCACCCCGGCAGGGGTGAACTAGGAAACTCCTGTTTTTTGGTGGAAAACAAACGAGATTTACACCCTCTAAAAATGCGTCCGAGACCTCAGCTGCAACAATCAGCAGGGTCCTTAATTTGGCATTGGACGCACACGCGCATTCCATAAAATAACCCTTAAAACGGAATTATGCTGCTCCTTTTTTAAAAAAATACTAAATTATTTACAACGAGATGCGCCTTCACTTCCAGATCAATGCAAAGGGAGACCAGTGAAAAGAGGTACGACGGGGAGTTCGGAGTGTGCGTTTGCTACGCCTAGTTAAGAAACCACAAAATACGCGGAATTTTCTGCTCCGAAGGACTATGTGAATTGACCTCAAGGGGAAATCGAACGCTTTCTATACAGGAAGCCCCAAAAAGGTCAAATTGGGATGTTTGTTGTGACGGTGTAGTGGCAATTTAACCTACTTGAAGGAATTTATGGTCACGAATTTAAACTCCGTGTCATTCACAAGCAAAAAAGGAAGTCGCACGTACAAACACACGTTGGTGAGGCATACGTCTGAGATTTGACGGCGTCGCGCAAAGACCGTCAAAGCACACCGTCATCCGCAAACGCTGAGTTCGAGTGTAATGCAGAGGAAATTTAGGAAAGTTAATCGTGCTCACGTTCAAAAGCTCATATTACAGCTGCATACGCGGTGTGGTTAGTTGTCATTACTTTAGTATTTGGAACATTATTGAGAATACTATTGGGAGTAGCACCGATAGACAGTTTATCAACCTAGGCTTGGATCACTGTTAATCAATATGGCATCTCAAGTGTCTTAAAGAGATGTGGCGCAGGCCTTTTGCAGGCGATCACATCAGAACTTGTTAGACACACGACTTTGCATGGATCAAAGTCATCTCGGATAATGAAAGATGTCCGTGTGTGCGTATGCGCGCGTGCGTGCATTTATGCATGAGAATCTTGCCTATCTTCTGACACGTCAAATTTACATTACTGATGTGTGTACATTTGCACTGTGACAACACAAGTGTACTTATGCTAATGCTAATCAACTTGACGCATACAAGCACGTGGAGTTACTAGACATTACACTGATTGCTCTACGAGATTAGGGCAATTAGGGCTTGTACTACTGAATACACCTTTCTGATGCTTGCTGGGAAAGCGTAGATGCAAGATATGAAATTAAGATGAGTTTGGGGACTCGAACCAATATAGCTACAAGTCCTTCCAGGAGAAGTCCAAAACCCACGAGACCATTACGCGAACTTAGACTAAGGCTTCTACCACAAGAAAGTCTAGGGAATAATTACGTCAAATTTGCAAACAAAGTCGTCTGGTTTTTAAAGTTTTTGGTATGTCGATAATGCCGATGTCACAATGACCTGAGACAATTTTGCGTTCACGGGAATGCAGCTCACAGCTTTCGGTGCAAAAAGGAGGCAGAGAAAATCGAATGTTGGAGTTTGAATAGCCCCTTAATCGCGTCTTAAAACATGATAGAGTCTGAGACTAGACGAAGCAGAGGCTGATGTGACCTTATAAATGTACTTTTAGGGAATTGATATCTGGCGTTCTACCCCACTGATCGAGCGAGAAAATTTGTTACACATAAAGAAATAAACCCAGACCTCCAGCATCGCTTTCGTTTTACAAAGTTTTGGTTTTTTAGAAAAAAAAACATTGCAATGATAAGAGTAAAGTCCATTTGGGCCAACGAAGCGGTATTGTTAAATTTGACTGAAAAGTGCAATTTCGGTTAGGTTTAGGTCGTAAAACTACTACGGTGGTCAGTTTGCCAGTTGTATTTTTCGAGATAAGGTAAATAAGTACAACTTGAAGCTGATTTAAAAAGCATTTGCGTGAAAGAGAGGATATCGTCTGCAAAGGAATTGTTAAACAGCATGTTCCTGACCTACCAAAGTCGAGGAGGCAATTTCTTGAGTACACAACATGTCGGAACCAGATAAAGAAGTGTAATTCAACATGGACAATTTGAAGTATTTACTGTTAGGGATGTTGCGTTGGATACCTTTTTCTTTAATAAACTCTTTTTAAATATAAATTCCCACGACCGATGATTCTCACTATTCGCCCAATTCACTGCCATTCTTAGTGCACAAAAAAATAAATCTTGAAATGTTCCATTTCACGACGTTGACCTCGATATCCCAGTGCTGTACGAAGAGTACCAGGTCAGGGTGAGATGAGCTGATGGTTAATTGAAACATGAAACAACATTGTGCACGCAACACACTATCCACAGGCGAATTTCTGACAGCCGCCGTTTGTCAAGAACTTTTAAATTCAAATGCGCAAAGGCGCGAACACAGTGGAAAACGAATTTTTTTGTTTGCGCGTTAAAAACGGTGGATTTAAATGTTGTGTAGAAAGGCAATTATGCATATTGTGTGCATGGGAGCAGCGGATTAATTTGAAAAAAAAAATAATAACAGCAAACAGTTAAACAAGTGAGACGTGCCTGCGTTCCGTTGTGCGAGGTGAACTGGTGCCAACGGCCGTCATGGCGTTGATAAAGCAGGAGGAAGTATGGGACAAAGTGGGCCTGTGAAAAACAGGAAAAAACATGGTGACATTAGTAAGGAACATCGATTTCCAATTGTATCAACGGTTTATGGTCATAGCTACATCGTGCCCAATAACAGAGTTCTCAGATCCGACCAATCACAAACAAACCTGAAAGAGAAGCTACACACGAAATTCCCATACTGTCACTGCCTCGAATGCTAGTTCACTTAATGAGACATCTTTAAGATTATTGTCGTGTGCATTTCTGATCGTTTTTGTGCTCCTTAATCCGTGCAAAAACAAAACTCTGGCGTGGAATCGCAATGCACGATTCCCACACCTTTGATAGGTATGGCGGCATGTTTACACTAAACTGATGCCATGCCGATGCTTCGAATGAGGAAACTGAGAAATTACAATAGGTTCCACCCGTTTGTTTGTCGTGCATTTAATTATTCGCAGTGAAGCGTGTCGACATGGTTAAACCCGCGAGTATGTCCTGTTGGAGGGTGATTGAACGAGAATTTTACAAGCTAGTCGAAATTTCCACAAGAACTGTGCTGCAATAAAAGAAGACCAGCAATTGACCTCAGTTTGGGGTGTATTTTACGACGAATTCGGCCCGTATTTTGGTGTCTGGGGGTGAAGGCTTGAGAGTGCACATTCACAGCTCAACCACAATTCTTCGCCTGGCGAGAAAGGTGAGCAGCCTGCCTGCGATGCGAAGGCAAGTGGATTTGGTGGGGCGCAGCAACCCTAAGAAGCCTGGAACAGTTGTTCACATCTATCAAAACGCCTTCGCACAGCCCTCGCCTTAAAACAAGTGCTGTAAAACCATCTGTAAGTGGTGGTGGGGATGTCTAAATAACGGTATCGAACATGTCCTGCCGATGACCAAATTTTAGCTTGTGAATCCTTGTCGTATTTCAACCTTTTTTGTCTACTGTGATGGTCGTGTCTGGGTCGGTTTGATAACTATGGTGAATAATCCCCTGTGTGTTCAACCCACCACCCACGTATCGTTGTTTACTGACTTAAATCCATAATTAAACCTCCTCATTCTGTGACCAGACAACATAGAACCCTGTCATTTTTCCAATGCCTTCAATTGACGTTGATTTCCCTCAAATGGGCTACCAATTTTTCTCTCCATTTGAAAGAATTCAATAGGAGGGTGGCGGCGGCGGCGGTGGTGGTGGCATTGGCTCAAAACTTTTAACGAAATTCAAAGACAGGAGGGGAAAAAATCACCAGGTGCGCAACGATTTGCAGAGCGGGTGGAGGGGGCATAACTGAATTACACGAAGACTGCATTAGGGATTAAAAGAGGTGACAAATCGGGCCACGTAAGCATTCAGAAAATAACTTCAAAATAGTCTAAGAACAGGAGAAGGATGAGTCAGTCGGATGATAAATGCTTCCGGTGGGGTCTCGTCTGTCTCATCGTAAAGGGGAATTTCGAAAGCAGCTTGGAGCTTCACACCCAAAGTGCTAGAGGCCGATGGAAAACGGGCCAAGTCACCGTAAAATTAATTCACACGGCGTTGGCTTTAGGTCAAGGGAACAAGCCGATGTCTCAGTGGTGGGTGTGGAATCATTTCGATCAGAAAGTTGTGGAAGACATTCTGGTGGAAGATGCACGAAGATAAGCCCGTATTGTTTGAATGAAATTATTCAAAACCGAGCAACACGAAATAGCCATTCCAAATGATTTAACTATATTTACACACTCAAACGAAAAAAGGAGGTGTTTGATTGGTCTCAGTTTGCGTTTCTGTCGCCTGACTGGACCACTGAGGAGCACGCCCAGTTTGGGTTCGTCGGGAACGAGGTCAAAATTCCACGAGCTTCTGAACCGACTCACCGACTACGGTGATGTCGTCCGTTCACCCAAGCGTGTCCTCTAGGCGCCTTCATTTTCTAAACGTAGACCATTTCCGCACACCCCCTCCCAACTGGGAACCGTTACATAAACAAAGAGCGATTAGTCAACACCGAGTCTGCCAGCTACCTGGGGCTTGAATATTTGCGTTGGGATAACGATGAATAACAACGCTACTTTTTGCAGTTCCCGGAAATCATCTGTAAAATCGGTGGCAGTTCCTTTGAAGCGGAAGACAGCAGGCCTCGCCAACTGTTTATAATCAAACAGATGTAAAAACAGGGAGGAAGAGTGCTGGCGTATAATTTTCTCCATTAATTCAATGAACTGAAACACTCACTGTGACTAAATTGGGATAAGAGAGTACTTCTCTGGTTATTACGAAGTTGTGTGCATGTTGGAGCGTGGCATTTTAGCTGGTCGGAGCTACTCGCACACCGAAATCACCCTGGTGAAACGTCAAACATTTCAGGCGTGTGGTTGAGGCTGCAATTGGAGTCTGCGGCCTCTTGACAACTCGATTTCTCATTGACACCTATGGAACCCAACCACGAAGAGGCGATAATGAATAGACAGCCTACACAACCGTTTGCTCATCCGCTAGGCACGAAAGTGTGTCTCGCGATTAATAGGTCAGAATCTGAGTCATTGACCAATGAAAGCCGTTCATGAACTGGTTAGTCATTAATCGAAAAGACGAGCAGACGTGCCTGGATTTGACCACGAAACACAATGGACAGTCCTCCACAGGTTTGCGGAACAGCGCTTCCAAGACGCCACCGAGTTAGTGTCCGAGACGTCAACCCCCCGCGGACAGCCGGTGTGCGCATCGTTGATTTATTTCCGAAGGAGCGTGCACAAACTTGTGAGAAATATGCGTCATCTAAATTAAACACGCATACAGGCGCGCTGTTTCTCGCAGAGCAGGACAGTACATTAACACGTTAGTTACATGTCCATTAGGCCAGGACACTCACCGCGGAATAGCAAATCTTAGTGGCAGACCAAATGCAGAAAGGAAGCCAATGTGGGAAAAAAGGACTTTTGAGATTGTGCTAGGGGCCTTAGGTGGGAGTTTGAGAAGTTGCCAAAACGGCAAAACCCTGCCTCACTGTTTCCTTGAACACAGTGACACCGTGAAGAGGTTTGGTTTGTCTCAATCCAAGCGTATTCTTGAGGTTTCTTTCCTCCCAATTGCCTTTTCTCATTCAACTTGGTACCAAACTAGTCTAGAGTTTTCATAACGGCCCCGGGCAGAGTTTAAAAAAAAGTCATGACGAAAAACACTTAAGCATCCAAAGTGTCACTCAGGTGTTTAACTTAACGCTTCAGTCATAATCTGATAGGCAGAACACCGGTTCTCACACAGAAAGTGCAAAAAATTGCACCCATGCACATTACTTTGCTTTTAGCGGAATGTACGGACACTAATTGAAGAAACTGTACTCCATAATCCGACTAGGATATGTGCGTGCATGCGGACACACACACACACAGTAGAGAAATCACGAGCCCTTGTCTAAAATGCATTACGAAAGCGAAAAAAAGTAGGGAATATTAAATTGCCCCATAAAATCAGAAAATGCATTTATAACAAGATTTACGGAAATATGCCTAGCTTAATTACCCTACTACAGTGGGCGACTTTATATGCCTAACAAGATTTCCATGGTTGATTAGACGCATGATGAATGCTACCCTCATGGTGAGATCAAAATTTCCGCAAGGCGTATAGGTGGGATGAGGTTCGGCCTCGGGTGAAATAATTTTTCTAAAGTGCTGGAGATAATAAGTGAGTTTAAAAAGAGTCCGACACGTTCTGATCGCTGCTGGGAGTTGAATAAACGGTTCTCCCACACGCCCCCTAAACGGTTTTACCCAGGATTTCGCCTGATTTACGAGATTAGAAACAAAAAATAGAACGGCTCGACTTTTGATGGGACGTGGTTTTGGAAAAAAACGCATGCGAACACCCGAAAACAAGGGCAGAAATTCACTCAGCATATGCTAAACTGAATGGGATGGCTAAGCCTACTGTGACAATTTGTCACTGTTACTTATCGAGGACACATTAGTTAGGCCAGAGCGAATGTTACATTTCGAATCGGTTCAAACAAACGCAGTCAGCACGGTAGCGTTGTGCTTCACTTATGGACAGCATCAGCTAGCCAATCATTGTGTAATTCCTATAAATTGTAAGTGCGCAAGGTGAAATTTTGCCTTGGTGGTTGACCAGCAAGTGGCAAGAGGGAAGACCCAGTAAGGCTGAACACTTCAAAGTACAGAAAGGATGAGGTCTAACAAGCTATCGCGTAATTGGTTGGTTCGAAAAAGGCGGAGACAGAGGGCTCGGGCTGTTTTAAACAAGAATGCCCTCATCAAGGCGCTTTGGTTGAACAGGTACACTAATCACGCAGTCGGCGAGTGTGAAACATAACATTCACAGTCACGTTGAGCCCAATCCTGGAGTCGAACCAGGATCTGTCACGAGTGTTACGGCTAAAATGGCATTCATAAGGTCACATGCAAACCACTTGAGAATATATTCCGGTTTTTTGGCGTTTATGTGATGGCTAAGCCTCACCTGATTGGCCAATCGTCGACATCTCGATTTACTTTGCAAGGTCAACCCCCACTAAATTGGATGCTTTTTTTGGCAATCTCAGATTTAGCAACACATTAACTCGATGTAACTGAGGTTGTGCCCGATTCGAGGGAATTCAGAAAATGAAGAAAAACAATAACCGAAGGCACTAAGAGGATGCTAGACGCTATCACACCACCCCGGTACGTAAAGTCTTGAACAGAAATGTGAATGATGGTGCAACACACACATATCGGTGCGCCTGTGACAATGGACGCGAGTGCAGCTTAAGAAACATCGAAACAGCCTTTTGGCGTCGTTAATTATGAATGCCAGGGGGAGAAAAGGGAGGGAGGGGGCTTGGTGTTCCACAATTTAAACTTCAACCACGCTGTTCCTGAGGCCAGCCTGACACGGGTATGCCGGTGTTTGGCATTCGAATTCATAGAACAACGAACAGACTGTTGACACAATTATTTTCCCAGCAGAAAAATTAAAGCAGGAATTATGGGGATTCCTTGCAGATGAAAGTGATTTCGATCCACACTCCGACCAGGATTCTGATCTACGCATTTTCATTGTTTCTATGATAATTGGACCAATGGCTGGAAATGGAAACCATTTTTTATGATCAAATAACTTCAACCAATGGCATTATTATGTGACAACAATTTGAGAAGTTGACATGAGCGATGACCCAACCATATAATTAGGCGAAGTGTCCGGAGATACCGCATACTGTCACAATTCAGATAAGAATCCGATTAGTTGGAATCAACACGAAGCACAGCAAGATTCTCTTAGGAGCGGCGGTAATCTCATGAATTAATTATAACTTCAATTATGTAAAATATGGCATTATAAGGCGTGCACGTGAGAGAGGATATGATGGCTAGATCTTCTAGTACCACGTCAATGATGTATATTGTCGCCCGTGATGTGTGTAATACCTTCCCTACTTTGGTAGCCATGATGTAACACACCGGAAGTCGTCGGCTTCCACGAGGGAAAACGCCCACCAATATTAGATTACAGGCCTCTGTTTAGTAAAAAAAATAGGTCCGCCATCTAGACCAATTCTAGTGGAGCTGAATTACCCACGACAATTAAGGTCAAAACGGTTTTAGCACCTGTCACTAGAATCTTATTTGTGCTAAATTGTAGCAGGGGGAATAAATTGGTGACTCGTACGGATGACAGGATAAACAAATAATCACAGGACATCAGACAACCCCACCGTTCAGTCCTATTCACACGGGCGCGTGTCAGCGATGAACTTTAACGTCCTGAGGTCAACTACCCAGGGGCGATGACCTGTTTTGTCGTTAATTTTAAGAGCATCCAATAGGAAAGGGAGGAACGTGAGAATTAACCAAATGGCATGGCGTGGCCATCTAATTTCAACTAGCGTTTAAGAGGATAACCAGTCAGTTGGAATTCCACAAATCGCTAATTACAGAGACGGTTTAAACAGTGGAAATGGGGTTGTGTTCGCAGAATGGCTTCAAATGACGAGCGATGAACCAGACTGCCAATAGGAGCTTTCCAGGCTCGGATGCGGTACGGAAAATCGTCGCGAATAATGAATAATCAAAGTGATTAATGTTTTTGAAGTCAGCGACTCGGGCCGCATGTTGGTAAACTATCGAATGGCGAAAGCATCGATCAGAGAACTCAACTCATCGTCGATTAGCTAATTTAAAGTGCAGTCGATATCCGATTAAGAGGATTGACAAGCAATTAACTGATGCGATAGCTTTAGTGACTTTCCCGAACCATGTTAAAATTAAGTGCATATTGGAAACTTCATAAGAGATTTTCATGTGCCTCCTTCCTCGCGTTCGCGACAATTGAAACAACAAGGTGCAGGTCTAGGGAAGGCCGAGTTATCGCCAAGTGTGCCAGCAGCCACCGCGGAAAGAAAAACACAGCGTCAACATTCAACCGAATGACACAGACAGCGGCTCGAAAGAAGCATAACAAGGAGTCCAATTGGATAACGTTTGCACATGATTCAGGAGCCAAGTCATACTTTTTCTCACGTCTGGTCCAATTTACCTGACCCTATAGACCACGCCGCACGATCGACCGTGGACAAAAAAGCCACTTTCGTGGGGAGAAAGAGGGGAATATCCATAAAGGGTGTAAGAGCAGGCAACCGGGACTGTTTCAAATTAACCGGACAAAGTTGAAGTGGCTGATTCGTGAATCCGACGACTACAACTATAGAAGTCCTTTGAAAGGATGATTTACAGTGAGAATTGAGTAAACGAGGTACATGACCTTTGATTGGACTTTACAGATGCAAACGCCCACACTACCCTCTGATGACAAGTTTAAACAGGTTGAGCTCTTTCCGACATCTGATTGGTTCGTGAATTCCTGGGTGGAAGTAAACCTCATTTACTTGTCGGCATGCGGTAAAGGCGTTTCCAGAAAAAAAAGGTATAAACACCACGTAATCATTGAGGGCAGTTAGTTTCTTGAGCACTTCGCTAAACGACTTTGATGAGCCGGAAGCATGGCCCGAAAGGGAGAGATGAGTTCAAAGAACCGGCGACAAAAATATGAACACCTGGTTGGTTGTTTTAAAGGAAATTGTGAGTCATCATTCTCAGAAAACATGCAAATGAAGCACAACTTGAAGCTAGTTCCGGGGAGGGGAGAACTCTATCGCAATCAAAATACTTCCACATGTCTATCGGAAGTCAAACACACACACACACACAGACGTAAGTAAGGAAAAGGCAGAAAGGTACAGTTGTTAGAATAAACCGAACATAGGTGATGCCCATCGAATCAAGATTAAAATCTTCGCGGGAACTAGTAACATCTGTTGCGTGGCCGTGTTAGCCCGCCAAAGGCACGCAGATGAAGTGGACTTCCCCGCGTGTATCGGGTGATGATTGAGTGATTTAGTCGGTTACAGCGCAAACTTAAATCCTATCGAAGATTGTACTGAATGACAATGTACCGCGATTAGGAGTGCACGATTTTAGGCGATATACGGGCGAAAAATGGGGTAATCGTCTCTTTGTACAAGCGAACTTAAAACGCAAGGGGTTGTACAGCGTGTGCGATACGCTGGATTATAATTAAACTAACACGTGTCCAACGTATACGCCATGGATTCAACGTGTAACACTTGGCCTAAGCGATGGGACGCGCAATCTTGCCGTAGGCATTAGCCCATGATTGGCACCAGTTATTGGGAGGCTAATTGGGCAGATTTAGTTGAGCAGTGGTTTCTTCCAGGGGTTCAAGAAAGACTCCCCCAAATATGGTGCCGCCTACAGAGCCTTTACGACAAGCAGCAGGGTTCAATGGGGTTTACGGGTTGCGCCTCGTATTGGATCAACCTGTAGCACAGGTCGAGGTCAAGCACAGCAGTAAAAAGCGCGAAAACAGAGTGTTTGGCGCGGACTCACGGGTTTTGAGCTGAGGCCCCAAGTGATGAGGAGTTTTATCACTTTCAAACCGTCGAAGTCGAGTTGAAGCCACTCTCGGCGGTCGTCTTGAATGGGGGATTGCGGGCACCAGGCACGTGGATTGTCATCGCCTTTGGAGTCGAATACGCTGCCACTAAAGAGATTTGAGGAGAAAGAGGCCAACTTGAGCATGTCCTAATTTGAGGAAACAGTGGAATACAGAAACAGCGGTTTTCTCGATGGGATTAGAGAGCGTTCTTTGCATCGGTTTGGGTGGAAAAGGTTACGAACATGCGTTGAGTTCGAGGCCTCCCAATAAAACACGGGCCGATTCGACTGTTAGAGATCTGTTACACAGGCGCAACGGACGTCTTGATAAGTTAGCGAAGTTCCGTGGATGTATAACTTTGGGTAATCAACCTAGCGATATTGGTTGCACGGTGGAGGCGAACCAGGTCTGATAAGTCTGCATTTTCACAACAGTAAGTAGCTATGTGATTCTTGATTTTCGTGAAGAGGTCAGCACAACAGAATCAGGGCTTAAAGATAATCAGAGAATGTTTCATTTCTATACAAGTGATCAAACCCTCACGGAGTGAATCTAGAGTTGAAAGCCCAAATAAATGCAAATTATATGCCCGCCGTATTCTTCGAAATAATTTGACAATTGAAGAATGGAGGTAGCTCCCGAGTTCCGCATTGCGTGACCAATTAATTCAAACGAAAAAAAACCATGAAATGAATTACCAATTTGAGAGTTCTCGAAAATAAACTAAGACAAAAGTAGACTGCTTATTAAAAACTTGAAGAGAGCGCAGCTTCACCAGTTTCCGCTCTGGCAGATTTGACTATACTACAGGTAAGTTTGGGCTTAAAAACAGTTTAAAATGCTTCACTCAAGGAGTCAGCGATTTTGAGCGTCAAGCCATGACGTGCCTTGGATTTGCAGATTCTAATTGTGTGTAGTTTGTAGAATTTCGGAGGAGTGGTAAGGATCTTGCGTCTGAAGCGATGAACGACGTGTCCTTTTGATAGAATTGACGGGATAATTAATTAATCAAAACATTTTGAAATGACGATTTTTGTGCAGGGAGAGTGGAATTGACACAGTCTAAGCGGGAGTCAGGTTTTCGCTTGCCGAAAAAAGACGCAAATGATGTGCCACGGAACCGAGGACTGATTCAAAAACGCCCAGATCTTACATGTCCGTTTACGTCCGTCAATGTGGTGGCTTTATTACAAAGACGGTTTACCTTATAAAGAGCCGAAAAAGCCCAACTTCCGGTTCATTTGAGTTTGTTTGACTGTGTCACTGTTTTTAGCCTTATGTTTACTTTGGCTGGTACAATTAGGAGATACAAAAGGCAAGCCAAAAGTGAACTTAACTTAGCCATCAACTACTTACTCAGATGGTGTGGCTATTTGAACGAATATGGCGTTACATGAACAGTTGTTTAATTTAACCGGTTCGGCAAGCTCAAATTTTGTGAGAAATCCATGTCTAATTATCTGAAGGAGACGACTGTTAAAATACAAAGAAGTCAAGCGGAGCGTGGTTCCAAAAAGATTAAGTTACAATGCCTGGACAAACTTAGATCTAGGAAAACCGATCTCTTGTGGGTGCAATATGACCTCGAGTTAAAAATCTGGCCTAATAAGAGCATCACTTCATTCAACATTGCCCCAAAACCATGGTTACAATCAATTACACCAGTAGGTGTGTGTTTAAACTGAGCTACGGTAAAGCAAGCCAGTCTGACGACATGGTTTACGCTGTCCCACGCACAGTGGTGGCACGCTTGATTGTGTAACCACTAGCACAACAAAATCAACTATCACTACTACTGTGCATAGGTGATCCACACGGTGGCCGTTTGAACTCGGTTTCTCCACGGTGGCATCGGTGTTTCACACGACACTCGGACGTCTGTCACAAATGGCGGGACGCTGGCCACAAGCTCAAATCAAGTTGGGCGTGTGACAGTCGAAATTAGAGGCAGAAGGTACGATCGACTCTCCTTAGTGTATTCGTCCTTCTAATGGGTCAATCGTGGCCGTGGGTCTGAAGTATGGCACGTCCCAATTTCGAATGAATCCTTCTTGTCAGACAAGCCAGTTTGGAAGTGTCGTTTCACCTGAATCTCGACCCCAAAACTGATGTTGGCTCTTGAGCAACTTCCGAACAGGAAGGAACCAGGACCCATGTGATTGTGCTAGCAAGAACCTCCAAAATCTGCCAATTTCTAAACAGCGTGACTTAAATTCTGGAAAAATAAACAGATAGTGGCACGAACAGACTGTTTTTATTGAAAAAGTGGCCAGCCAACGAGCGTTAAGTATGGAGGCAATGGAACCCTCACGTTCTACCTCTGCCCGCGTTCTCACATCGCACGGGATTGAACAAAAAAGGGTATAGAAAGAAATAGGAGAAGTAGGCACTCACGAGGCTTGGTTTGCGCCATAGTTATCAAGTGCAGAGCTGGCCGAGTAGGAAGATGGAGTGAGGAAGGAATTGGCGGTGTTGTCCATTTCGTGAAGCAGCGTTGCGTCGACTGAAACAACAGAAATTAGGAGGTATTGGGACCACAACACAAATTCTTGGCCGGTAGCATAACGTAGCATCCAAAAAAGACAAGTGCCAGATACACTCATCAATACTCTTTCACGAACGAGACGGACAAATAATATGACGGTGCACACATATCTATGTTTATTTTTTTTGCGTGTGTGCATATAAAAATACTGCTGGGGCAACAGAAAAGGGTCCCACGCAACGCCAAGTGCGGCTGATGGAAATTGATAATCTTACGTCGCAGTGGAACAGTTTGGTTGCAGAATTAAAAACACCGCTTCAGAGCAATTTTTTAATCGGGCTAATGACCAGTGTCCAAATATCGTGATGAGGGTGATTGAAAGAAGTATCGTCCAATAGGAGGTGAGAATAACATGCATTTTGACGGCCTTTTTCCAAGATTAAGTTGTGTTCGCACAAGGACCGTTAGGTAAATGAGCCTGCGATCGACTGAAGCTAATCCGGCAAGGGGAGATTTCAGTGCCAAGGAAAATTACGAACTAATACGGAATATTTTGACCTTCTTTCTCCAATCGGTATGTGTTTCATTGTCGAAAAAACGAGTGCACAAGCCACCACGAATGGGGCTGTGTGACAAGGATGCAAGCGAAATTAACCACATCTGAAATCGCGTCAACAGTCAATGAAAATTCCTTTTTAAAAGTATTTCCTCGAGACCAAATCCTTTACGGTCCGTTAAAGGTCAAGTCTGATACTACTCCTCACACCTCTGCCTAGAAAATTAATATTTCCGTATCTGAACCTGCAGAACTTCGCATATTATTAAAAAAGGAATTTCTAGCATTCAAACAAGACTACGGCAGGAGATAGGCAGAAATGCGATCAAGTCCGACTGTTAAAGATTAGATTTTACGCAGACTAAATCAACAAGTAACCAAGGCAACCAGCGAACGGCATACCAACTATCAACTAAACAGGCTACTTGGAATGTTTGTCTTTCATGGTTGGCGGAAGATTGGTTATTTGAGCATTAGGTTAGTGCATTTTGATCCACAATGACACAAAATCCAACGATGCCTGCCAGAAAAGACGCCCGCATTGACATGATTAAATGCGGCAAGTTGGAAGTAAATCGGCTGGCGGGTTAGTTCAGAGGCATCTTTTTGAGCAGAGAATTTTCATCTACTCACGGTCAACAAAAGGACGTAAAAATCGCTTAACTAAAAGGGGAGCAAAGGCATTAGAGCCTAATTAAAATAGATGAAACGCGACTCAGTGGCGCGACTAATTAGCTTTTCCGTTGTAGTTTTGGCGTAGGTACGAAAAAGCAGGCAAATGCAAACACCACAAAATGGAGCTTAGAACACTACGGCACTAGTCGACTCAGTTAAAACTCCCTCCACACATTTAGTAGGGCGATTAACTGTAACAAGTTGTCTAAAGGAGCGGTGGGAACAGTTGCCGGATGAAACACTGTGATTGAGCTAGGGAACACTAGCATTTTGAAAAAGTCCGAAATAACTAATGAGACAGGGGGCGTGAAACAGAAGACAACGTGAATCAGCTAGGCGAAGTTCTGCGTTGGTCAGTGAGAATCGGAGCGGCCAAACTCGTGTTTTGTACGGCGCCGTGAAACTAGATACTTCCACAACAGTCCCAGGTGTGTGTATATTAGTCGGTAAGGGGTGGGGAGGGAGTCGAGAGAGAGAGGCGACTCAGGGTGCTGTACACAGGTGGACCCACATGTTACCCCCTGCCAATCACGCAGACGGTACCCGATACTCGGAAAGCCTGCGTTTGGCGAAAAAACAACGAACCTAAGGCAGAAATAAATGATATGAGAGGAGCTCGTCCACAAAACAGAAAGGCCCTTTGAACTGCGATGGAGAAATCACATTAGTAATCCACGATGCGATGTAATTTGACTACTGGTGATGTTCATTTAGGGGAATGCATTCCTCTCTGCCTCCAAGTTGATCCAGTCAAGCGTAAAAATCACCGATTTATTATAGAAAAGAAGTAAACAAATTGTTTACACTGGCTTTCCTTCCAAGGAAAAAGCGGCACAGTTTTAATTCCAAAGGAAGTAGAATGCTTCCAGAAAAGTCACAGCAACATTGTTTGAACGCTTTAATAAACAGCGATGGGTCAAAAGCTAAAAAAAACATGTAAATTGTATTTGAGAGTTCTGTTCGACAGTCCCATTCTCGATTGTGAAGTTCCAAGATCTGAGGTGCAAGCACAAGGCAAACTCCACACTCACAAAGCCAAACCAGACCCCCGAAACGGACACAGCATCCGTGACTTTTTTAGCAGAAAAAAAACAGAAGCAACAATAACTACTTTTATGCACAAGAAAAGAACGTTCACTTGGCAGCGTTCTTGGGACTACTTGATTCAACAAACAGTGAAAAACGCCGGGAACGTTTACACGTCAAAATGCAAAGACGTTCAGCGCAAATGATTAACTGTAAGGTACCAAGTTACGAGGTGAATACTCAGGCTTAGAAAACCGAGTTTTGAGGAGCAGGGGGAGGGTTCACCATTGTCGATGTAACACGATCTCGACAGGCACCAACGGAGGACACAGTAGACGGGGTACCATCCAGACCAATTAGACGGATACCACTTGGTACGTCTGATTGGAGCATGGCAACAGGTTATGCGAGGGCGTGAATCCGTGTCACGCACTATTCCGACCCAAGACTCCTTTTACCCTTTAATTCTTCTGCTTGATTCGAGCAAGGGAATGCTGCGTCAAAAATGCACTCTGCGAAGTCAAAAACGTCGAGACAAACAGTCCGGTTGAGTTGTTACATTGGTTGACAAAAGTAGGCGAATTCGGGGGGAAAAAGAGGCACAGCTTAAACGTGGAAAACTCACTCGAAGCAGGGAAAGATCAATTGCTAGGGTGAGGCCATAAGGCAAAAGTCATAATGCTGTGCGGCTAATCCACGATTTTCATGGTTTCGAAGGGCTGAATCTCAATACCTCCCGTTAACGCTGATTTCCTAAGTAGTTAGATAAACCCCTAATCATTGCACAAAAAGTGACTAGTTCTTGTTATAAACCCATTAAGCTCACAATTTTGTCTGTTTCCTTATTCATTTGACGTGTTTAAAACAAACGTAGGTTTATATTACCGTATTTACACATTTCTAGATTATAAAACACCTATAGAAATAAGAACATGTATTCTTAGTCCCAAGTATAAAGTGCATGAAATGCAAACCACGATAAAGTGAGGGATTAAATGAACTTTTAAGCACTCTCCCTCTCCACAAAAGGACAAAAATGCGACAAGGAACAAGGTGTAATGGCAAACCCCAATGGACTTAGACCCTATTTCAATGTCCTAGTGGTGATTTATTACTTGAACAAGTCGTTTACCAATTGCATCGTTCCACTAGGACCGGAAAAATTGGATTATCACTCCGCTTGTTTGGATACATACTTTCAATCTGCAGAGTGCAGATCTAAAGGAGATTAAAGCGGTAATAGAATGAGAAGACGAGGGAGAGTGTAGGAGGGTTGCCAAATAGGAGGAAATTCACTCCTGGCGCCAAAGTAATCACACTAGTTTTAAGGCAAGTTGGAGGGCGAAATAAGTCTCATTTGACGTCGGCGCCACCCCTTGTGGGGAAGGGATAAAACACCCCATCACTAACCTTCGAAAGAGGAGGGGTTGGTGGATCTGGGTTGCCGAGTGACCTCTTATCACATGGCCTCATCTAGTGCAGCCAGAAACGCCGAAATGCCGTTGCCACTTCAGTAGCAGTCTTGGATCTTATCAGTTGGCAAACATGGAGGGTTGTGCTGAAATCTCTGCATCATAAAAACAGCTCGTTTCACATGATCAAACGAGCAGCTATTGAAACGAAAATGCTGAACTGATACGACGGTGTTTACAATAAAAGACCGCATGTGTGATCCAGTGAATGAGCCACGTTCCACCGATACCTACAGCAGAGACGTGGTGGGCTTGTTTACGAGGCAGATGAAAGCTACACTCATTTGTAGTCGGAACGACACGCAAGGATGGCTCGGTTTTCACTCGAGTTATTGTTGATTTTGATTACCCCTCCACCTCCCCCCCCGCCGCGACCAATACGGTTCAAGTGGAAACGGACGCATCCGGTCGGACACCTTTGCGAATGTAGACTTCGGTTTTATTATGTCACCTGCCACTGATTGATCAAATTTCCAAATAAAACGAAGTTTCGCACTTTTATCCATGAAAGTAAATCACGTCCGAAGCATCCAAGGCCAACTTGAAAGCTAGTCAGTCCAGTAGGCAGTCAATGGAGAAAGGTTTTACTTAGATAGGACATTAAGTGGGGTTAATGAAAATTGCCGACACGATCCTCAGTCTGATTGGTGGTCCAGTGAACGAAAAATGTCCGAACGAATTGACTTCAAACAGTAATGGGCACTTAAAACTGGGATGATAAGCCTGAGATCAGTCGCAGCGACGGGAACACAAGCCTCTGACCGATAAAAAGGAGTGAATTAATTAGATTCAATGGCGCCATGCATTTGTGCTCTCAAAAAATGCATCAGATAAGCTCAGGGTAAAGGCAGGCTTTAGTGACAGTTAAAACTACCCATTGAACACCCTCGTACACTCAAGAACATGAATTTGACAACGAGCGCTCAGGTACTAGAGTTCCTCTACTTACAACCAATCAAAACACTGCAAGTACAGGCAAGAGAAAGTGCAGAAATTTTGACAAACGGGAGTGGAAAAGCAAGTTCTAGCGAGATCGCAAAAGGGGAGCAATTGAGCCAGCCTAAATCTCTTACCTAACCACAAAAAGGAGTCATTGTGGATTAAAATGCATTCACACGAAAACGGATTCAACGGATTTGAGTCTGAGCCGTTCCATTCAATGGTTAATAGTTTAGAAAGCAAGTGGGGCTAAATGTGTCCCTCTGAAGCGTGTGGAATGCTTTTGAAGTGCACAGCTAGGTGCCTGTGATCCTGCGAATACAATGTCCAACTACTATGAATGAAAGTCAACATGCCTTGGAGAGCAACGCGGTGAAAAAGTTAACCTATAATTAAGGCCAGACGGATTTATGGTTGCGAAAAAGTTGAGCCCACGAGTCACAAACACCAAACCTGCAAATAAACACCCCTTAATGGTTTATGGCGGCACACATCTTTATTTTGCAGAGGTGTAGATACCAACGGTCACATTGGTTGAGACACGAAGTTTTATACTGAAAGATAATCTCACCCTGTGACATCCAAGGCGGAAAATAAAGCGAGATGGAGAATAAATGCGAGGTTAGCACAAGACCGATCCCCAACCGTCAACATGATGGATGAGTAAGATGCTAAAAAGTCGGCATCCGAGCTCGTTAGCATGGGAGACGCGTGCGCACGTCCTGTACAACAGAAAACACTCGGTGCTGGCGGATGTAACAAGGTGGGGTGTGTGTGTGTGTGCCCTGTCAGACGCACTGACGTCTAATTACCGGTACCAACACGCACTGAGGAAGGGGTAAAAAGCACCCGTTGTTGTGTGGACACCCACCCACCCACCCCTTACACGAACGTGACTGATAGAGGGCGCACTGGAAAGGTGTACTTTCTTTCACGGTTCACAGAAGGGGACTTGGGAAGGCGGAAGTACTCACGCGAAAAACTACAAAAGCCTTACCTGGGGAGTTGAGAGATGGCAGCAGGCAGGAATGTTGCGAGCATAAATACACATGGACATACACACTCACAGTAAAGTGAGTACTTCTGAACGATCTATGCGCGTTTTAAGGGCACATTACATTGAATAACCAATGACAAAGAAGCAATAGTGACGAGCATGATTATTAATGGCACAAAGTGACATCAGGTAATAAGACTCACGTGCAGATTTCGGCGGAAATGTCGACTTATCATTTGTTATTTTCGTTTTGAAGACAAATCGACAAATGGTATAGTACAATGACATTCGCGATACGGTTTCTTCTCATAGCCGAGTACACGAAAATGAGATCTAACGTGAAAAAGCCAGCAGCCGATTGGTAGTGTGCTCGGGTCACAAAACCACCCATTGATTGCAGGGTTGAACAGAAAAATTGCCCTAACTCTAATAGTATACTGCGTGACAGTTTTCTCAAAAGAGAGGTGAATCCTCCAGGGAAATTTGCGAGCACGTCTAAAGACCACTTTTCCCCGCGAACACCAAATACTTCCAATTAACACGATGGAAGAGAACAATAAAGGAGGAACAGTTGTCCAAGTCACTCGGGTTTTTTGCATTTTTGCGTAGTTACACCAATACGACTTTTTCTTAATCTTGTTTAGGCAGGTGACTAGCATTATCAAACCTTGTGAGAGGAAATAGAGAAAGGACACCGGTAAAATCCCCACTAGTTCAAGACTACGACTCCGGGTGTGGCTTAAATCAGCGAGGTGACACCGGGCCCTAGATTTTGTGCGGCGTAACCTTTACAGTTATTTACGATATCAGAAATCGACTTTCTACCCACCTACGCATTCGGGAGGCACAACGACCATGCCGTGTGTGAGGGAAATGGTAATGACCGGCATCTGTCGTGGAGGATCGGCATTTAGAAAATCAATTCCTGCAGAACGAAGGAGCGTAGGTCTTGTCACCACTGATGACAAGGGTGGGGAGGGGGTGGACGGTAGATTAATCGAAGTTTAAATACCACTGGGTGGGTCTTCCACCGGCAATAGAGCGCTCGTCCCAAAACCGTCCAGCAGCAAATTATGTAATGACAATGCAAGTGGCTTTACTTATGGAAAATCGACCGCAAATTCAGTGATAGTTTACAGTTCATTCATTCTCCAAAACTAGACCACTACAAATAAACTCTTCACACACACAAGTAAGTCACACTAGGTAAGACCTGTCAAACCGAAACGAAATCGATTTCAAGTTTGTTCCCCATCTGCGGGGATTTGTCCAATGAGAGTACACTTTTGAGTAGACTACAAAAGGCAATGATAGCAACATTACTATCGGTTATTATTTTCAGAGTAATTTAAAACTGTTGCAGCCTAACACAAGCGTCAATGCATGAAACTTAGTGTATCTAAGTACCAACATCAGATGTCAAATGAGAAGCCAGATGTGTTAAAATTTTGTCTGCGAAAACGCGGATTGGCTGGGAGACGACAGCCGAATGACAACAAGGGCCGGTCATAATTGCACCCAAAGCCCAGTTATGGTTTACTAGACAGTCACCAATACGACAAAGTGACGGAGACTGTCTAATGATGTTATCAACAAAATGATGAATGAAAATAGATTTAGAAACACTTGAAGCCAAATGTTTTGGCAGGTCGACGTGTCTGCCTGGCTTTGTCTCGGACATTGGCCGGAAGTAATAATTTGACATTGTGATACATTGAAAACTACTTAGTGCTGACGTATCTATCGAGGGAAGGTTGTGACAAGGAACGCTACACAAACATGTCTTAATGCTGCTAGGAATAAGCGGTTTCTACACATAGAAAACCAAAAACGAGGGTCGATTATTGTTGAACTATGGGCTAGAAGTCCAGTTTTTGTTCCAAGCACTGAAACGCTGACGAAACAACACAGGGCCTGTCTACACCGAACTTTGTTCACTTGGAAAAGTGTGTTGAGCGGCAAGATTGTTTAAATTTGTCCTAGATGCCTAGAAATCTGGGCTAAACAAAAGTGACTATTTATGGAGGCCCTTGGATGAATAAATTCTCAGATTACGACTTGTATAATACGATGTCAAGTGGAATGGCCAAAATTATGTTGGTGTAGGGGCGCAGAGGACCAAAAGGCGGGGGAATTAATGAGTAGACGTAAAATGCCGGCGGGGCTTCGGGTTTATTTATTTTATTGGCGCATAAAACGATTCAAGTTCTCCTAATTAGTGTCGCGACGCCTCAAAACCGCATTCATAATCTGCTCTAAGTCTGCAGGATTCATGGATGACAGCCTAAGTGCTTTCACAACACTGCAAACTGGGAGTTTGGAGGACGGGGAGATCAGTTAGATGAAGGATTTAGCCGAATCGTACGAAATTGGCACAAATCACCAGCACCATCAAGCAGGGGCGGGCGGGCGGGCAAGCAGAAAGAATGACAGGTGACATTCATCAGAAAAAGGCCTTTCTCACGTTGCTGTGGGTATATTTGTGCACACACGGAGAGCAATTAAGACCGTAGCACAATAAACAACGGTTTTTGACATTAAGATTTTCGCCCCATTAGCGCTTTGTAAACCAATCTGTCCTTTGGATGGTCGCTAAAGGACGTGGTAGGCGCAGATAGCGACAGGGTGCGAATATTCGCCAGTACGGGAATGACAGATATCATTAAACAAACTGGGTGTGCGTGAAATCGACTTTGTAGTAAACATCCAGGCCCCTGTGGCGGGTTGAAGTGCCATTAGTGAAAAGGGCACTTCCTCGGGCTGGACAAAGGACAGAAGAAGTCCGTTTTTGGGATAGCCGTTCCCGGCTAGTGGCCGGACTGGGAGATGCCGTCGTGAAAATCCGTTACCTCCAGCGTCTGGTGCTGAGTCAGCCCCCACCGCCACCACTGCCACCTCCCCCAAACTCCAAGCTGGTGAGTATGACACTGCAGGCTATTTGCTGCCATGGTTTGTCTGATAGTATCGAGAACTTGACGCCTTGCTGATACGCCCGCTTATCATTGGTTAAATGATTCATTGATTCCGTCACGCGATTTTGCATTACATTTAGGCAAATTAATTCGAAAGTTTACAGAATAGCCTTCCGGCGGTATTGCAGCCAGAATGTGTATGCAAGGTCCTAGTTTGCAAATTAAACAAACAGTGTCGGCCGAACCCGTCTACGTGCTGAAAAAGCTTTTGCTGATTGTAAAATAGTTTACGTCAACGTTCAACGGTGCATATCGAAAGTTTCATAGTTCAGTGAAGATAAATTATTGCAAGGCATAAATGTGTGGCAACAAAGTCAGTCGGGAATCACATGTCTAGTCAACACCGGCCAGGTGTTGAATAACTAATTTCAGTAGGGGAGATAACGTTTGGGTTCAACTCACCTCCCCCCTTCTCATCAATACCTGCAGCCTTACCTGCGGGATAACATGAAGCCCAAAGCGGTGGCTTTCTGTGTGAACAGTTTGATACAAGTTCACTCCGCTTAAAACGGCAGGAGGCAAATTGGATTCAAGAATAATGTGCGTGTGTGTGCGTGTGTTTTTGCGTGCAGACGACCAACAGGGGTCCAGTCGTGGTAATGCACGGCACATCCTTCTATCTCACGATAGTTGGGACTGTATTAAATTAGATTTTCTTAGCAGTGCTCCGTCCTTGAAAAATGGAATCGCAAATACGCAAATCAAATAAGCCGTCGGGCATTTAGGGAGTAGCAATAAGAAAGAAGTACTGCTGGGTAAAACAACTGGAAGGCTAAAAAAAGCCACCAGATTTCAGGAGTGAAAGGTGGTTCGTACTTTCCAACAGATGGGAAGATTTAACCATGAAAATTTCAACTTCCGTAAAAGGTGTGACAGGCTTGGGCCTACTCAAACACTCTGCAAAACTGCAGGCATCACAGTGGGTCGCGCGGGCCCACACGGGTTCGGTGTTAGGAGGCATTTTTTTTTAAAAAAAATACTACCCTGATAAGAGAGAGGAGTCACACCGCGGCTGGCTTAATACGACACAACTCACCAGTCGCTCAGATATCAGATGAGAGGCCTTGCGTGCGTGTAGCCCAGCATGCAAATTCCACGCCTGACATCTATTGCCAGATAAGCTGTAAATGTACGGGAAGGTGGCGTGTCTATTCACTGGAATATTTGGGTTTGGAGTTTGCTAAAATTTCTGTTTGGCAAAGGTTTCCCCCGAGAGGTCAGTTAGCACATTAAATAAGGCTGAAAACGCCCATTTGTTAACACTATCGTATGTTTGGCCTTTATTCTATCTTACCCAATTGCGGCACATGTAATTTGTGGAGGTTGACGCAGGCTAAAATCAAGACAAACGTGATGACAAGAAAGAAGCCCCATATGGGCATGACTCATGCACGCATACGGAACAACGCATCAGGATGACTTATGCGCATCAGGGGACCCTTACACTAATCAAACTCAGCTGCGAGCCGAGAACATGACGGAGTCCACCAAGTGCCACTGACAACCTTCAGTGTTAGAAACAAACTGAAGTGGAATAACTGTTAGAAAAAAAAGTCGTGACTACGTCATGCCGACAGTTGTGATAGGGGGCATGGTAATTTGTGTGGGTTCGAAGGTGAACTTTAAATTAAGTTCACTTTTCACACCACGAGTTTACCCACAACTGTTTGGGGATGAAATGGCACACACGGTTAAGCAATTTAAAAAAAACACGGACGCCGAGGGGAGTTTCGGATGCTTATTTATGGCGAGACGTTAATGGTGTATCTGGTGCAAACTCCTATTGGGATGGGGATAACTTATGGTAGAAATCATGACTTCCAAAACAATTAAAGAACTTTCTGAGTAATTAATGCAAGAAATGAGAATAAACCAACAGAACGAGTACGAGTGCTTAAAACATGATTACCTAGGTCCTGATAGTGTGACCATTGAGGTATGATGTAAGGTGATCATGCTTTGCATAAGTGGACTTGACTTTGGTGGCTTCGCCGATGATCCGACTCAACTTGGTTGATAAAAGTAAGCACATTTCCTACGAAAAACTCAAGTTTTTAAGGGTTCAACAATCGGACCTACATTCGACTAAATTGTCTACAAGATTAAGTAGCGACATGTGAAGTTAAGGATAAAAACGGAACCCATAAAATAGATTCTGGACAAATTAATAACCTTAATTAAGTGGGGCCTAACATTAGTAAAGACGTAAAGAGCGCAGGGAGAACGCATTCCCCTTAACAGTACAAAACGCATGTGGATAAAAAGGGCATTTTTTGAAGGTTGAGGATAAAACGGCCTAGATTTAGCAGAACGTAGCAAGATGCAAGAGGAACATGCCCTTTGCAATTCCGCTAAGTAAATTTGCAGTGGCATCGATTGTTAGACAAATCGAAATTTTTAAAATTCAAAATTATCGAAACGTTTATTTGCAAATTAGTGCACGTTTGGCTACAAAAGCCCATGGGCTTGCTGAGGGAAAATTGCAAAATTATCATGCCAGATGGTAAGGCGAATTCGTAAAAATATCTGCACACCCAGGGTTTTCTAGCCAAATAGGCATATTCGTACGTTTGTCTTATAATGTTAAGGCACTGAGAGATGATGGAAAAGTAAATATTCATGGCCAGAGAAAAGGTGAAATCAACTGCTGAAAGTGTTGACAAGAGGCAACTCAAGGCAAGTAAAATCAAGCAAGCAAATTGGCAGAATATAGACAATCAATAAATTTCAAAAATTGCGACATTTAATAGAGTAATTTATGTAAAAGCGGAAGACCGGAGTCGATGGGAAAATTGAAACATAGGGAAGGAAGACTACAACGCATGTTACTAGTTAAATGACAATTTCAGCAACAAATCCAATCGAGAAAAAATCTACAGTAACACAAAAATCAAGCTGTTTTAAAAAAGCATGCACGCTAACAAGGGAATTCGTAAACACGAAAAACAGAAGTCACAAAAGCAACATTATTATGCATCCTAGATATTGAATTTACCTGTTCTGATGCTCATCATGATAGGGTGCATCAATAAGATGACGACGAAATGGGTAAGGATTGAATTGTAGTCGCAAAACGATATTTTTCCCATGGCGTTTCGAAGGCGTTTAGGTAGTAAAGATTAAATCCTCTGAAATGTAACCATGGAAGTATTGCCTCTGGTGGCAAATATGAGTTATGCCAGCATACTCCGAGATAGTCAAAAAGGGAGACCGGGAGGAACACGGCAGAAAGCTAGAAAATAATAGAAACCATAAAAGCTCCAAGGCCGACTGGCGGCCGAAGGACGCATAGCAAATGGCTTAAACAAATTCAAGAATTAAATATTAAGACATATTTTTAATGAAAGCGAATATTGACTTGATCAAAAAAGCCGTTTTTACTAAGCATTGTTTGCATAGACCGCACAAATGTAAAAGTGCAGCGTTATGCAGTAAACCAGCATGAATAAATTTTGATTAATTTCTACCTGATACCAATGGAAAACATTTTTCATTTCTGCAAGTCGAAAGAATCCGCACATCCTTAAAACACAAAAACAAGTGAAATTTTAAACCATTTATGACACTTGTCTGTGCTAGAAAAAGGGATTTCATGTTCCTGCAAAAATGTAGATATTGCAAGAATCGTGTTATTTCTCACCTCTTTTTCCGGTTGCTCCACCTCCGACGCAGGGTTATTCTCCTCGCAGCATGTCACTAGCCACGGATTATCAACTTTATTCTCTAAACTACGAATATATATATCTTGGATTATCCTCACACCTAGGTCTCGATATTAGCTCATGTTTGAGGCACACATCAGAGATACAAATACACAGGAGCAAGCCCCACACACATCACAACGATACTAACGTCCCATACAAACACGAAAAAGTGCTTTATTGCAGCCCTGCTTGTGTTTCTTGAGCATCACCCCCACCACACCCCACCCCACCCTTACTGCCACCCAACCACCCTCTGCCTCCCTCTCGGTGTTGCGTCCAGACGCGGCAGTAGAAGTTGACGCATAATTAAATTGGAATCAAGCTGTTTTTTTCAACGTAGCTATTGTTTAGTGTGTGTGTGTGTGCGTATGCGTACATTGAATTAGCTTGATGAGAGCCACTTTCCGGCCTCCGTTGCTTTGTAACTTCATTGAATTGAAGTCGGTTTGTAGGAGCAACGGACGCAACTGTCAGTTCCATCTCACAACCTTGTGAATCAGAGACAACGATGAGTCCAAAATGAAAATAGCACTCTATTTATCGCTATGTGATACTTCGTTTTTCTAATTCTGAAATCTTTGAATCCCTGAGGCCTATTTTTTGGATGATCAATATTTCTCGTTTTCGAAATGATATTAAAATGAATGACGTGATTTATTTAATGAATTTATGTTTTGCTAGGCATTCAGAATTGTGGTAGATGAAGTTTTATATAAATGTCGCAATTTATTGTTTAATGCACTTTTGATACGCATTAAAAATATAGCAATTCAGGACGATATTCGCGTTTAGTTATCAATTATACAATTTACCAGAATTATAATTCACTCATAGTTTTGATGAGTTATGGCCCACCGCTGCATGGGATATCCTAGGAATAAATATAGACACTTTTGAGAGTGCCTTTACCTAAGTGATAGGTGATGACTGATGAAGTATTTGACTTAATACATAAAATAAACAACCCGTTTTCAACCCATAAAGGCAGAAAAAATAGCTAATTTTCGTAAGCAACAAGAGATTTAAAAAGTATGCATTATTAAAAATAAAGACGTCTTCTCAAAGTTTGTTTTGAATTACGTACTCGTACGTGTTGTTTTGTTCGTTTCTTCTAATTATAGCGTTCGCAGAGCAAAGCGCACACTTCTTCGTGCCTGTGAGTTTTGTTCTTAAAATCGAGGACTGCAAATGTCGGCCCTAACTCGTGGCGAAAGGGAGCTAAGAGAGCGGTTAGATGCTGTAAGCCATAATTAGTATTATTTTATTTTTTGTAGAATTTCAAACCACCATTTGAAAGTGTAAGTTCGGGCTCGTATTTGTTTTTAAAAGTCGGCATTTTATATAGTATGAACGGGAAGGTGGAATGCCACTTGAGGTCCTCCAACGTCTATTAAATGAATCTGACATTCCCCCGACGAGAACAAAACGTTTTTTTAAAAAAGCTGATGTTAACCGCGACCAGCGCGTTAATTACGATGAGTTTTTAAGACAGGTACGTGTACTTCGTTGTTTGTAAGTGAAGCACATATTAATTAGGTGTCATAGATTATTTTTGAGTGTGTTGTGCAATACAGTTTTGTTTGTGCTTTACCTTTTTTACATGATTTCTACTTTTCGTTATAATGTGGCTCAGACTATTTAAGTGCAGCACATCTATTTCGGGTTGTACCTTTTTTTTCCGAGTTGTCGACTCAGGCATTTTACACGTGTCACCTGTCTACCTCATTATATTTTGACTTTTTTAATTCGTACCTTACGAAATTCAATACAAATTTTGCTCAAGTAAAACACTTTGAACAGAAATAGCTTTATGTCTAATATCTAAAACCGTATCTTAATGTCGGATTGGCAAGCAGACCATTTAGCACCATCGTTCTGCACTGATATCGGGCCTGTTATAGTCAAGCATGCAGCAGTTATACAATCGTAAAACCACGATTATTTTGGTTCCTTTTTACATTTGTAGATATTTCCAAAATTAAACGTTTCATTATGGTAGTATCCAGTATACGACTCCTGGTAGTCAGTCATAGTACTTAATTGCTTTGTCACAAGTTGTAGTAAAACCGCGGATAATTGCTTTAGATTAATACCCGTATTTAAGCTAAATGCGGACCCAGCCGATGAGCACATTCGTGATTATGACATTGAAAATGTTACAAAAATGCAGTAAAAGCAAAAAATTGTCCCCGTTTTAGGTGCTCTTTTGTGTCCTGAAAGAGATTATGGCCATCCGCTCATCCAAATATCCTTAAAGTTTAAGTACATTAGACACTTTTTTGATTCTCCAGATTATGTTTGAGGACAGTGCATTTCTGCACAAATTAGCTTTTGGGTCGATCGCGCTTAATAAGGCCGTTATAGCCGTCGCGCCGCAAACCGCACGTCGAAAACAGCGCCAACAAATGCAAAAATCGGGTATTGACGAGACGGACTTGTACAATTGGGGCGAGGCTGATGTAAATAATTACATTGAGGCCTATGATTGTCGTCCACCACCCATCTTCATCCCCCTCATTACTTTTGCCCAGGTACGCCGTTATTTCACATGCCGTTCTTTTGTAAAACATCGATGTTCTCTGCTAGTAATCTCTGCATGGTTAATTTTTTTCTATCAATAATGCTTTGACTGCTCAAAAAATTATTTAATCAGGCAGTGAAGTCTGAAAAGATAACATTTTTATGTTTACACTTGGTTTTATGCCCGTTTCACGATATTATGACGCTGACAGCACACAAATGTGGCTACTTTTCCTGGGCTGATTGTTTTGTAAGTGCTGGCTGATGCATCCACACTTATTTGCTTGTTTAGTGAATAATTTATTTTGGCTAATCGTGCCTCTTTACCAGTATTTTGGATGTCCGTTTCCTAGCAGGCGAATTGCGTTTATTTTGGAACTGACATTGCTTCAAAAGTGTATGCAAATTAAGATAGCTTTCATTGACCTTTCTGCTAATTTTGGCCAATTTATGTAATTTAATCTTTGATTCACACAGGATTTCTATTGTTTATTTCTACTTTCGTCTCACGTCAACTTGACGCATGACCTTTTTTCAGCCTGCAACGCAATTTTAATCTAATTGGTCAGCGTAAATAATGGTTTTGGCGTCGAGTTGAAACAGATGGTCCAATTCAATTGGCTTCCACGGCATGTTCCAGTGTGTGTGGTAATTCATATAACTCACACTGTAAACATTACCCAATTTACTGTTAAAGGTGTGTGTTGTTTGTGTACTTTTTTGCCTACCGCTGGCCCCCATGGCGGTTTGTTAGGTACAAACGATTGTGGTGATGATTTCGGTAACAACTAAAGTACCATCGCTCGGATTAGATGAAGACCGACTTCACATGACTTGTTTCTTCCCATTTCCGGATCAGTTTGGATGACCACACGGGTCCCAGACCACAGATGACATCGGCAAAGCGGTGGAGTCGATGCGTTTGAATGTGGTTCTGCTGTCATTGTTTTTGCAACGAGTGTGGAAACCGAGTTTTCGTGGTTTAATTGCCACAATGAACGCTTATTTTTGGAGTTTCAAGTGGGTGAAAGAGGAGGGGGTGTGATTGGGGGTAGTCAGCAGTAGAAATTAACTGAATTGCATTTCGCCCCTGTGCGTTCATTTGCCTTCGGTTAATTCGCAAAGCTTGAAAATTGACATCTGGGGGGGGGAATAATGGCTTAAAAATTCATTTATTGGCTAGTTTGAAGAGGTTCCGAAGTGCAGTCGGACCGACGACTTACGGAGATGCGCCAAAGACAACAAGGTGTGCCTTTGTTTGATACGGCGTTGGGATAAAGAGGAACGACTGACATTCAGTTAAGCAGACGAAGGCCACTACGTGAGACGTAAGCAAAACTCAAGCGGTCGATTAAGATCACGTTTGTTCATGTCTAGGTCGAGCAGTCATGACCTATCTAGAACAACGCTCGCGTAGGCGTGCTGACTCCCAGCAACTTTGGCAGGATACCTGGATATCCAGGAATTAAGAGTTGACGTTCTGGCGAACCTACCAACTTGGACGCCTGTACCCGCACCTAGGCTCACTATTGTGCATGGACGAAGTCCACCAGAGCCCCGATACAGGGTCGTAATAAATCTCGATGCGTTAATTGTTGAAGAATGCTGCATACTTCTTGAATGGGCATGTTATCACAATCCAATGGGATCGCTTCACTCACCTCCTATCCAAGATACGTTTTCTATGATAACGGCACAGTAACAACTCAATTGAACTACCAAGTATTCTCTAAGGCCAACTACCGAAGTATAGTAGGAGGTTCCCTTAAGATGTGGTGGACTAAACACGAGCTTTGCATTTAAACAAGGCAACAGCAAACTTAGTGGTGAATTTTTTTTCTTGTTGGTCTAATCTAGCTGCACACAGACACACTTAGAAAGTTTAAAGTAATCAAAGCTGCTCAATTAAGCGTAGTGTTTCGTTGGACCAGTTGGAATCAACCGCCCTGCAAACCGAACTCGTTTTCTTTTGGATTGAGATCTACAAATAAGAATCATTTCTGACCCATGGAAGTTTTTTATTGGTGGAGTCTATAAGTGCTCGTTTATTCAGTGGTTTCAAAGAAACCTTGCCTCATCTTCGTCGATTGTGTAGGCTAAATGTCCATTGGTCGTCTAATCGTCCTCACTTTCAGATTGCCGTCTTCGCCTACTACGCGGTGAAGGCAGCCGAGGATGACAATCCCTTCAACGACGTCACGGCAACTTCCGGTGTGCCCTATTCCAGTCCGCTGATATACCTTCCACAGAAGCGCTACCAGGCCTGGCGATTCCTCTCCTACATGTTCATTCACAATGGCTACATCCACCTGATCTTTAACTGCGTTCTCCAATTAGCCCTGGGCACCCTGCTTGAGCTGGTTCACAAATTTTGGCGCGTCGGCATTGTCTACTTGTTTGGTGTGATTGCCGGTGAGTCAACACCCAGAACTGAATCACAAACCTATTCCTTTTTTACTTCACTCACACAAATAGATACCTTTCGATGCCTTGACACGTTGGCGATGAGGAGATCCGAACGTTTAACTGTTGGTAAGGCCTGGGATTGGTTGGTTTTGGGCTGGCTTCAGCGAGTAATGGCCGTTGTCGTTTGTTCAATGAATTTGCGGAGGGCTGTCTGCTGTAGTTTCTTCCCTAACTTCTCAACAATTCTCGTGTAGTCTTTTCGCCAAGTTTGTCCCCTGTCACCTTAACTTTACTAAGCTCTTCGGTTTTTCTCCAATGAAACAAGCTCCCATTGTTGTCAGAATTATGCTTCCAGAAAAGGATAATTTGTCCAATGTGCTTGTTTCCTGTCCGTCACTTCTAACTTTTTGTCGCCTGCTGATCATGGGATCATGATCAAGGAATACGGCGTTTCTCTCAGCGTCGTACATTCAATTGTTCATATTTTGATCCGCTTCATCCGTCAAAACTCCACTCATTTCTCGAAGGTGGTATTTTAAGAGCAGCGGTACCAGCCACAAGTCGCGGATTGTTTTCAAAATAAAGTATATTCCCGTGTATAGTGGACTCTAAATTTGCGGTCCAGAGCAACCTTTAGTCTTGGTCATATTTGAGTTGAAGTCACAATGAGGTGTTCGGTGATTAGTGAGAGGCTATCTGCGAAAGACGATTCCAATCCCAAACACAGTATAAATTCCGTGGGTTCGTGATTCGGAGATGTAGCTTGTCTTGGCGACAAGCAGTCCTTCACCATTGTAGCCAAACACAGACGCCTTGAGCCTGATTTGCCAGTAGTTTTTTTGCCAGAGCGTGTTCTTTTATTAAGCACAGGAGCGTCTGTGGCTTTATACTACTTAATGATTGACTTGCTCCGGATGTGAGGATGTCTTAGTTGAAATGAGTCGGGTGTCGTCCTGTCAGTCCTTCCTGATATTATTTCCGTTTTGAATTCCTCCTGCGGCATTGTTGCGCAACCCAAATTTGCATGCTTATCCACTGGTATCGTGGTAACTCTAAGTTACCAACAATGGATTATTATTTTAGGCGTCAAAGACAAGCCGAAGGTTGAATTTTCATCCCATCCAAATGACAATATTGCATTTGAGGTTGGGTAATTTAGTAGACATCCAGAAAAAGGTCAAGCAGCTAGCCAACAGTTCACTTTTTTTTCGCACAGCGACCTTGCGATCGAAAGCCTGCTTTCTGGCACCCAGGAGAACAGAAATTTCGCTGGTTGCAATTTTCATTTCACAACTGCCAGTCAAATAATGAAGATTAATCAAGCACATGTTTTCCACCTCGTCTTATTTGCCGACTGTGGCTCCGCGTTCATGCAACCTCTGGTCACAGCAAACAGCCGGATCACATTCGCCTTCACTTCTTCGTGCTACACGATTCCATGTGCGAATTGGTCGTCCGTTTCCATGGAAACAAATCCAAGTGCTTTTCGTTATTCTACCAAAGTGACAGCATGATCTGAATACTATTCAGGACTCAGTGTAGTTTGTACTGGCTCATCACGAGCCAGCACCATGATAGTCTTCCGTTGGTGGCATTGTAGACCGTCCACTTGTTTAATCCAAAATCGAACGATTTTAGTTTGTTTGAGACGTATATCACAAATGCTAATTTGTTGTATTGATTAAAATATTGTTAAAATCATGCGGAACCCAAATGTTGCGCTTTTTAACGGGTTTATTGTTATATTACGAGCTCTTAAGTTGAGAGAATCTATTGGCACAACTTCGATTTCACTTTAACACATAATACTTTTTTCTTTGCATTTACTTTTTGTTCATTTACAACCACTACGACCTGTGGCATTTGTGTTTGATTATTTTATATCAAGTGTTGCCGACACAACTGTGGATCTGGCACACAGCCTCACGGAGCGATCTCTCGTGGATTAAAATTAACCTGGACGATGAGCGTTGCCTGTGAATCGCTGCACACAAAAACTGACTTTTAGGTGAAAGAGTGGCTGATTTGACGCTGCGCGTAAAAACACAGCACGGTTTTTGGTAGATAAGTAGAAGACTGACTGGGCGCGCCTGATCTCACTTGAGTTTTGCAGCTGCTGCTTCTGCTTTTGTGCAAGTCACATCTGACTGTGCTGTTTACTTAGTTGTTTGCTAATACAAACAGGAACAAAGTGCGCGCTTGTGTTGTCTTTTCGGTGCGTAATTTGTTATGAGGTCGCGATTGCAAGGTGGGTGTACCCTGCAACTGACACTTACCCTTTTGGAAATTAGCAGGCTCACCTACAACAGGTTTGGCATGCTAGCGCGAGGCCTAATTGACTGACATGTGTGCTGAAAACCAGACTCACAGAGTCAGTAATGGAGATTTTCTTTTAATCAGAAGTCCCTGAACCGGCTTCATAACTGGATCTGAGTGCTGGACCAGCCAGCTGGCTTGCTTTTGTAGAGATTGATGTCCTCTTGGACGCTTCGCGTGGGTGCCAGACTAGTTGACAAACGGGCTTTACTGTTCCAAGAAGCCGGCAGTCAGTGTCTTCTCGCACACTCTCGCACTCTATTGTGTGATTTCACTTTGTTCGCTGACTCATCACGAATGACATGCTGCAATGACTGGCTCTTCCTGGTTAGAGTCAAACACTGCACAAAGGCGTACCTAGGCTGATAGTTTCGCTTTAAACATTCTGATAATTCTCGTCTATCCTGGCTTGCTCCCTAAACGCAAGGAAATTTTGTTAGACTAACCGCAGTAGCTTTTACCTTTTTTAGTGTTCTTTTAAATCCGACCTATTTTTGCGTTGCCATTGGGGAATAGGACCGTTTGTCTCATCTTCGGTCAAAATTGACTGAAAGTGTTATTTAGCGTTGGTTTAAACTGTCAGCTGGGAGATTTGCCTGATTGACTGAACGACAACAGATGATTATGCAGAGAACTAATCCTACGAAATGACTTGCTTTCTCTCTAAGGCTTCCTGAAATGCCTTTTTTGATGAAATGCAAACGCTGAGGCAGAAGAAGCAGAGGAAGGCCACAATGCCTGGGCTTTCGATTGCTGGCTTCGAGGTGTGCCAGACGAAATAGTGAACTATCATGGTTGGCGGAAAAAAGCGATGCAATGCAAGCCTAGGTTTGCTAGAACCATTTAAAAGGATATCCTAATCAAATTAGATTCACCGCATCATAGGTAAAGTGCTTACCAGAGATTTGTCTGGATGAAACATCAGGGGCCAATCAGGCAGCAGGACCACAACAGTGGAGTCGCCTGCTGTATGTCTGCAGCCTTCGGTAACCCAGAAGACAGCGAATATGTTCGTCTTTTGGGACCATCCGAACACCAGCTAGGTGTGGTTAATCGGCATGTCTTACTTCTGCCTCATTTGGAATTCTAGTAGGTCATTCTTTCTTTGAAGGCCTCCAAATTTTTCAAAGCACCCAAACACTAGACCGCCAGTGATGTAAATTTGACAGTCGCATGCAGATATAATGAGGTCAACTTATGGTGGCGTTGTCAATTATCACCCTCAATGAAATCATACTTAATGTAGCCTCTTGCCCAATGACATCTCGACTGTTGGGTATGCGTGGTTCATTGTAGGTGTGGTTTCGAAGCTTGAGATGTCCTTTATTTAAAAAATGCTGCAAAGTAACATCTGTTGGCAAAAGAAGTGAACGGATCCACGTGGTTGATTATCATAAGCCTAGCTTGCACGACCAAGACCTTTGCATCACGCGCCGTCTGGGTGGTAATCATTAATGAGTCATGCGGCACGCCGACCACACTCGTACACGCACACACACACACACACACACAAATTAGTCTCGACAGGCGTGGTTGCCAAAAAAATCCACTTTGAACAGACACGGCCTTCTTGTTTGTGGACGTTGCTGACTGTTACATAACCCGCATACCAATCAAATTTGTTGACGGGGCTGATGACAATGCCAAAAGATCCGCTAATTTTGCATTTGCAAGTGTCTTGGACATTTAACCTCGTCTTATTTGGAATTGGAGAATCAAAGTTTGCCAGACCCAGTGAATTCACCAATGATGTTGTATTTGCTATGATTGAAGCTTATTTCAGACAAGCAGCGTAACTGTATTTCAAAGGAATGAGTACTATGTCAATTCCAATCGACTTTCAGCCGAGAGCAGAATTCTGTATATAATCATCTATGGTGCACTTTTGTCCATTCTGAAAGAGGATCCGCCTATTCAGAAGATTCTTCTCTGGCGAACATTCGTAAAGATCGGAAGTTAACACCAGGAAGCTCACCGGTACCCAGACGCAAACTCTTCTACACCTGAGATGAGATGTAATTTTGCAGGAGTTATCTACCCGAATACAAGTATTCATGACTTGATGGATTGCCTCGGAAACATCCGGGAATGACTAATCGGAACAGTGTCGCCATTCAGCGCGATGGCACCAGCATCACCCAAGTGTTTGAGTTTGAAAGCTCTCTCGCTCCCGGCATACTGTATAGATCCATCTCTATCGAACTTCCTCCTTTGTAGACCCCATAAACACAACTTTCCCAAGACGATAACCACCGAATTCAAATTCACCAAATGGAAATGCGAAGTCTATAGCTGGGACCTAAAGAGGTGGCGGCTACTTCGTAGATTAATCAGTCTGATTTTGTGTTTGAAATCAAAGACAACCTCATCTGTGGAAGCCCCAATCAAATAGTTGTTAAATTTTAACCCGGTATGTTGATGCAGGTCCCCAAGCTAATACTTGAAACCCCATGTTTGGCACGTCGAAGGCTTCAAAGAATAAGAGGATATTAGAGCTTGTGAGGATGTCTTTACTAGATAGATGAGTTGAGTGTTTAACGCTGACAGAATTTAATTCCCCTGTTCCAGTTTCTCGTACCTCCCTAGAATCTACTCATTTTTAATTCAGCTTATTCCCCAATTCGAATTTGTTGTTCGGCTGGCATTTATTTAAAGCCGCATAACGAGGTATTAGGCATCGCTTGTGTTAGAATTTCCGGGATGCTTTGGGCAAGGTGTCATCACATGGCAAGTTACGTGCAGCCAATTTGAACATTCCTCTTCCGACGTGAACGCGCATGTTTTAAACGTTTTGGTGTTATTTTTTCATAGTTATATACATATATATATCGTTTGTGATTGGCATGACCATGTTCTCTGCACACAGCCCTGACCCACAAACATTTCACCTTAACTGTTTACGCACGTAGTTTCAATTGAATGCCCTTGTGAAAACTTTAAATTTCTCCATTAATGCCCTGATTTTACCGCATCACGATAATCTGCGACTGTTTTGATTTTGTTTTTTTTTAAGTCAAGACAGTTTTCTTTACCAGTACCCAATGAGAGTCCTTCAGTGCATCGGTTTGACGCCCAATTAAATGTCCACCTTTCCGATTTCACCAATACCTGCCCCCACAACTTACCTGAAGACCATTCTGAACCTACACGCAATGGGGTTTTGATGTCCTGACTTGAAACGACCGCCTTACACGCCATCAATCAGCAATTGCTTTTTAAAGCATAGCAAAGCAATTCGCGAATGGCCACTTTTTTCTCGTATCAAACGAATGGTGTGTAGAAATGTAGTGGCGTGTTACACTACGCTGTTTTGCACTTTGCCTACCTCTGGAGAGAAAGGGCTTCCACCACAGCGCTAGATGAATCATGCCGTTTTTACGAGAAATACTTTTAGCCCCCTGAAGGAATTGTTTACCACTGAGTTTTCCCAAATTCACATGCACTTTCCCTATTCTCGCTTTCTTGGGCCATATACTGGCCTCTAACTTGACCAATAGCGACCGGACTTCAGAACAAGTGCCTCCAGTACAGCCCACTGCTCCCATTGTCCGGTGCCATGGGAGTAAGTTACCTTCTCGAAAACACCGCTTAAGCATCACACTGGTTTGTGGGTGACCAGAACATGCTCGACATGTTCGGCATTTTTGCGTAGCTTTAGTTTAGCGCTGCAAATTTTATACGCATGGGGCCTTGGCAGTCGCTTTGTCACATTACACGACTAGCGTTTCGCGTATTATCAACTTGTTTATGTGATTCTGACTGGGACCTTGTCCTCAGTTTAAAAAGGACCTCTCTAGGTGGTTGTAGGTGTGTCAAGGTAGTGCCAGTTCGTATTGCATCATACCTAGACAAAGGTGAGTGAAATCAAGAATGCATATTGGTCCGTTGTCTTTGGCTCATTCTTTGACTTATTCAGTACAAAAGCTGATGAAAGAGAGAAATCCTCGGCTTACCTAAAGGTGCTCCTGAATTTTGTGGCCCACCTAGTGGTTTCCAACTTGTACACACGAGTTTATTGGTTAGGCGTGGTTTGTCCTGGGCGACCTCGCGTTTTTAATGTGGGATTTGTGCAAACTCCCACCACGGAAGTCATTGAAAGGTCAGTAAACGCGAAAATGCACAGCCTGCGTACTTTCAGAAATTTATTTAAGTAAAACTGAAGTACTTGCCCTAGTTAATATTTAATGCATAGCTTGTTGTTTCCTCTTCAAGCCGCTTTTGTGATGAAAATAGCAAAATGTAAATGCACTTTGATGTGGTTGGCGTCAACGATTTTTCTGTAATCGCAAAGCACATGAAGCTTGCGCGAATGAAGTCGTGTTCAAGACACAACCACCGTTGGTTCTAGATTTCCGTGTCTCACCGGTGGAGTTGACCGCTAATTTCACGGTGTTCTGTACCTCGAGAACTGTCCGGTCTCACGTCTGGCACCTGGAAGTCACTCAAAGAGGTCAAACGTGCAAACGAACGAACTCACACCCGTGTTTTTCCTCTCAGATAACCTCACGGCCCACTCACCATCCCCTGTGAAGCCGTTAGGTGCCACTTTGAGGATTGAAACACTGGGCGTGCTGGTGAACACCAGAGTAACCAATAGCTGTGTCGTTTAAAATACTCTTTGAAAAGGCGCTGCATCGCTTTTTCCATCTCTCTCTCTCTCTGTTGCGTTAGTCCAGCCCCTCCCCTTCCAAGATGCTCTGGGCACTAATAGGAGTAAACCTTCACTGTTGGTCCACCTGCATCTATGTCACCAAGTAGTTTCATGTGTTCGTAATCGATCAGCGTGTGTGTTGCAATTCAACCTGATCGCCACTGCTTAACGAACGTCAGATGCAATTTCATAGCATTGGATTATGTAATCGTGCTTACTTGTTTCAAGTCGCCTGCTTTTACGCCTTTGGAAGTTATGATGAATCCTCCATTTGGCATTGCCACAAGCCTATCATAGCACACCTCTCGTGTACGTCTGCTTTAGGCAGAACTCTTCTTGTGTCATGTCACATGGTCGACAGATGTCTTCGTGGTGCCACGTGATTCGATAGCCTTCCTTTTTTACACGACGTAACGCGAAGGCCTTGCGATTGGCGAATTTAGACAAATGATCGGGGTTTATTTGCCTATTTAATCGTGAATCTTTCTGGCGTCACGTTGTTGTTACTGAACTTCTAGCTGTTGCTTCCCTCATCATACATGACATCCACTTTTCCATTGTATTCTTGGATGTTTCGAAGAAATTCCTCGTTGAAACGCGCCAATGCTTTGCCATACATTAACAAGTACATTTCGTTACTCAACGGAATGGTAAAAGGTCGCATAGTAAAGTGGTTACATTGATTTGTGGTCTCTGGTAATAGTGCAAAGTCACACGCTAATGTTCTCTAATGCCTATTTCGCACGTGTCTGCGTGTGGGCGCCGGATGTGTTCACAGGACTGTTTAATTTTCAGTGACCAAGATAGTTGCCATGGCAATGCGTATCTCTGATAAATTATCCTCTCAGATTAGCGGTGTGCAGTGACGGAAATTTTGAAAGAATGAATCCCATCCTTTTCCCTTTTTGTTGAACATAATAGTACTATTTTTTTGCATTTGCCATTTGCTATTTTCTAACAAATTGGGTCAGGGTTTTGAGGCTGGAAATCCCAGTTATGAATGATTTCTAGACCGCAGTGTGTATACATAGAATTGCAACATTGGAGAAAGCGTGAACAAGTAGCCTGCGTCTGTGCGACCCGTTTTCACGCTTTTACCCGGAATTTTGATGCAGATCTCCTAGCTAATAGTTTGAACTCCATGCTTGGCACGTCGAAGGCTTCACAGAATACGGGGAGACTAGTGCTTGTGCGAAGGGCCTTACCGTCTGGACTAAAGGTTGAGGTACAAGGTGGGGTCAAAGCGAAAGTCACGTGGATGTTCAGATGTGCTCACTCGTACATGCCTGGGCGATCAGAGATCGGTGAGTTGAGTACTTAACGCCGGGCGATGAGTTGTTGGTGTGGCGTGTCTCTAGAGTCATAATCAAGTGAATAGACATAGTAGATCACTATGTTAATTTGCTTGCCTTGGGGAATGTTCGCATCCTCAACTCTTCAAACTTGGTTTGTGTGGAAAATTTGACCTTAAAATCTTTTCCGGATACAACTGGATATAAAAGACAAATAAATATTATGGGTGACAACTTGATTTTTGACTTTAGTGCAAAAAACATTTCATTGTTAGATTTTAAATCGGTGTCCTCATCGACAATTCACAAAATACTAAAATTGACTCACGGGCAAGTAGCACACGCATTCTCCAGATGATACTTTTTAGCGCTCCATCTCCAAAATACACGTACACCCGAGGAAGGCGTGGGCGCTTATGACACACAAAATCTGTGTTTTTGTGCCCTTTCCTTGTCTTCCAATGATGGATTGTTGGCATTTTGGACAGACGCACGCCATTTTGGAACAGTTTGACGTGCTGACAGCTTTTCTCTCAATACCTTTTTGTCTTCAGGATCCCTGGCTCATTCTGTGAGTGACCCTTTCGTCGCGTTGGCCGGTGCCAGTGGAGGCTGCTATGCCCTTATCGGCGCCCATGTTGCTACCATCATCATGGTGAGTAGTATAAGGTGTATCGCGTAATCGCATTTGCAGTCTTCAAAGCGTGTACCCCGATGCAATGGTTTTTTGAATCGTGTCATTAGCCCAGCAGATCTACTAGTTGAGAAGTCGTTGATTCTACGGCTTCGCGTTAAAACAAACTCGATTTTGACTATTCAAAACTGGAGTCGCAAGGCTGCCACAGTTAACTCCTGCTGCTGGCACTGTAAATTATAGTGCCTCCGACGCATCACAATGATCCACAGACAAAAGCTGGCCGTTCGTGTTGCACATGTTTATAGGCGAAATGACAATAACATCTACAAAATGGCGTAATTACTTGTTCGTTGACCTTGCAACAGTGTTTCCGGTCACTGGAATTGGCAGTTAACGTTCGTTTTATGTTATAATTTTCACCATTTAAGGGAACATCTCGCTTGTCGAGTATCGCACCGACTCTTCGCGGAAATGTCGTTTTAGCATCCACTTTGCCTGATCGTAATGAGCCCCCTAAGGAGACGTAGTTGCTTTTCCTACTAACTTATGAGCATGCTTCTTCGCTACTTCTGTTTTAAAACCCACAGAATTGGAAGACCATGCAAGCGGGTTGGCTGAAGAGTCCAGTGAACTTCCTCTCCAGTGGGGCTGTTCGACTAACATTCATCCTTCTCCTCGGTAAGCACAAAGCCTTTTTATTGGACGATTGACAGTGAATTGGGCATGTTAATTTGCTTCAGTTTTGTCAAGTTGCTAGCTCCGAAGTCCCTTCAGGTAGTCGTTGCCAATCACGTAACCTTTTCAAGGTAAGATGCCGTGCGCAGATTTCGTCCAGATGGCGCAGAACACATTCACACTAAGAGCTCCCCTTTCATGTTCGCCCGGCTTTCTATCCTACACGAGGCAAGGTTTGTGGGAGGTCGATGACGGACCTTTTCTGTTGTCACGGCAAACAGTCAACATAAAGAATCGGGGTTTTTGTCGGGGTTTTGTCATGGCCAAACGCTTCACGAACATGGCTCACCATCCAACCTGTTGCTACAGGCCATCCAGATCCATTTTTTCCGGAAAAAACGGCCTTCCGCTTGGAACGCCTAATTCTGACGAATTGTGTTGGCGTTGCTAGATGACGAAATGACGTATAAATTTTAGGAATATCCTGCCTGAATGCCTTCTATTACAACTCTATATTCTTTCTGTTCTAAGCCTTCTAATGCGATTAAAGACATGACCTATGCGAATGGACTTTTGATGGTTTGCTCGGTTAGCAGTATTATAAAGCAGTGTGTCGAAGCTTCCGTTTGATTTTCACCCAACCTCATTCGTGGTAACAGATTTGACCGTTTACCTAGATTGATCCGCAATTACACATCAAACCTTGTAACCAATTGATGACTTTTTAGTCAACAAAGGCTCTACTGAGTAGGATTGTAATGTTTTGCTCGTTGCTAGAGCCACACGCTCAGATGATCGGTACTTTAGATCTCTTGTGTGACTCTAGCCTCCACCTCCCCGGTATAGGACAAAGACACGACCTCGCGCGGAGATCTGTCAACGTGACCTTGACTTGATGGGTCAGGGCGGTTTAATAAAAGTGGACCTGTCAGTGGAGTGCCATTGGTGACTCACCCACTCGAGTGGCGTGGTCAGGGGATTATTTGAACAATGACGAATTCCTTACCCGTGATGAGCCGTCTTAAGGAACGGGCTGTTGTTTGTTTGCGCTGTCGTCAATAGGGTCGCCTATAAGGCGTAGCCAAAGATTCGTTGGATTCAACCAGGATCCAGCAAATCCTTTCAGACATGGCGGCTGGTGTTGGCGGCTGATTCAGTCTTCACGTGAGCTTCATCTGGGGTTCATGGATGTGTGTCGCTCGTAGAACCCAGACAGCTGGTGCCGTCTTCATTCAATCCAACGCATACCTGTCACTCGGAGTGGTGACAGGTATGCGTTCTAACTGCTCGGCATCACCGCGGTTGTGTGAAAAAAAGAGGTCTGTGCAGTGACACCACACGCCCAAAGTTTCATTTCCGCTGCGGTTTTCCGTTCATTTTTCTTCCCTCGTGGGTTAGCTGGTGGGAACGAGGGAACTCTTGTAGCCACTAAAGCCTGGACAATGCTTCCCCCCGTCAATTCAACATGCAAAGTGAACCGGTTGCGTTTTGCGTAACTGCGAGCGCGTATGTGCGTGTGTGTGGGTGTCTATTTGCACAGCACACAGTTTTGAACAGTAATGCTGCTGTTGTTGTTGCTGCTGCTACTTCGCTAAGCAAAATGATTCAGCCGCGGCGGTGTTGACTAATCTTGGTAGTTTCTTATTTTGTGTGCTGTGAAACCAACTAACCCGGTTATAAACAAAACTTAAAAGGGATTTGGTTTGCGCAAAAGTACGAATTGGCAATCGCATGACTCGAGCCAAAAAGGTAGGTTTCGATGCCAAATCCTCGTTTTTTCCTGGTTCGGGGATTTAATGCCAATGGGTAGAAAAGTTTTCCTCAGCCGACACAAAACTCTGGATTAGCATCCCCTGTCGAGAGTTCCTGCAGTTGGTTCAATGGCTTCGGAAGGTGAATCGTCAAACATGCGGGTCTTTTTCTAAAACACTGTCCTGGAAAGTACTGATTTTGGCCGCGTTGATGTCGGAATCTGTCAATCAAACGTGTGCATTAATGTGTATTCATTCCTCTTGTGATTTTTTACAAGTTGGGTATAGTTCTCCGAATTTTGGGTAGCAAATTTAGTAGGTTGGAGGTAGGATGACTTTAGCATAAAGAATATCCTGTGCAATTTATTGTTCCGCTTCCAAATTAGCCGTAATCGCTATGCTAGGTGTTTTGTTGAAACTTCGAATTGAGTGGGCGTGGATTGGTGGAGACAGTTAGCAAATGTGTACCCGCACGACGCGTTCGGCATGGTGAATTCCAGCTGCTCTACGAAGATCCGAAATTGAGCAGATGACTCTGCGGTTTCTCCTTTTGACAAGCACAAATGGTTTACGTCGAATCAGGTTTGAAACATGTGGCACGGGAAGCCTCACACCAACAGTGTTCACGTCGACTGACTGAAATTGAATCGGATGATGAATCGGATCGTCGTCGGATTATTGTGCGAAAGATTTCCGAGAGGTTGTTTTATGCATGCACACAAAACGTGGAAGTGATTTTGAACGCGTAAATAAGCTCTATATATGGGTTCCGCCTGAATTGAACAGTATTCACTCAGTAAAACGAATCAGCATTTACGAAATGAACCTCAAACGCAGTGTAATCGTTCAATTTTGGATGAACCATCACTGGAAAGTCTACAAGTGCCCCAACAGAAGACTATCACGATCTGGTTTCGCGACGAACTTTGACTTGCGTCCAAGAAGCAGCCGATCATTTCAAACGTTCAAGGCCATCAACCAGTCTCATTGGAACATTGAAAAAATAACGGCAGGATTGGGCAAATTTTTAAAGGCCTAGTGTTCTTCAGACACGGTACAAAGCCTAGGGTGCATGTTCGGTTACCCACGCTGGGAAGCGATGTCGCGTCCCAAACATACCAGCTCCAACCTTGCACAATCAGATTGGAAATTCCTTTGATTATTGAATCTCGAATAAGCATAGCCAAGGGCCATTGGACAAAGTAGTCAAAATCTGTTTGGGTAAAGTTCATTCTCTTTTTTTTAAATCGCCTTTATCTTACGTTTCAAAAACGAACTTATTTCTTTTTTCACTCCTTTTAAAAAAACAATCACAAGCGTCTGAACCCTTACCACGTTGTCAACACAATTCTCTTTGGATATTTCGTGTTGGCCACTCGACCTGTTCCATTAGCCGACGTCTCCCAAACTCCCTTAAGCTTAAATTCCTAAGAAACACGCCCATTTTGTGTGTAACAAGCGTTAGGTGCACTGTTCTTGCAGTGGCCGATGGGCTTCCTGCAGACACGTGGGTGTTAGTTGCCCACTCAGTGGTAAAACCTCAATTTTCGAACCGAGTAGTCTATTTCGAATGTGGATCAAGCGTCTTCGTCCGCCGGACAGCTGCCTCACGTAAGTTTCGGTGTGCTCCTAGTGTAACTGTCTACCGTCAACCTTCCTCTATCGTGCGACTAGCTGCTGTACAATGTGCGGAATTTGTTTGCAGTCACGTCTGCACGTGACAGATTCCACCCCAAACATGGATTCACATGAGTCACCCCGGTGTGATCAAGTAAAGGTTACACACACACACAAACACTTTACCAACAGGTACGTGACTTCGCATTTGGTCTCGACGCACACAATCATCTCCCGTGTGCTCTTGCGTCTCGCGCTCCTCCTATTTGTCAGTCTGTTTCAAGCACACGAATCGCGTTAAACCAGGTTGAATCGGTTGATCACACCAGGGTCGCCATTTGCTGAAAGCCAGGTCGAGTTAGTTGGTCATGTCGAGGTCGTCAGTTGTTGCGGCACCGATGCGGGTACCGATCTGTAGAGGCCTCAGTGCGTTGAGCACACACCCAAAAGTAAATGTCAAGGTCGGGAACAATCGACTTCAGAGGACATATTTGAATAGAATAAGATAGTTGATTGATTACGCAGTTGTAGATGGGATAAGTAAAGTGCACAGGTTAATTGACTCCCCAGGGCATGCATAGGCTGGGAATTGATACGATTCACTACAAAGCGATTCGACGAATTTATGACTGTCAGGTAAAGGAGGAGCCGTTTGGCTGGCGGTTGCACGACACCACACCATTGGAATGGTACAATTTGGAAATCACCGAATGTTGTGCGTAGTTCAAAACTTTTATAAAATGCCTTGTGAATAGTTGTGATTTACATCAGGCGAAGGCTGCGTGTTAGATGTCTAGATGCTCATTTGTGCCCGCGCTAGAAAGGTCTTTTATGGCTAGTCTTTAAGTTGAGGTGCTTACCGCGTATGGTGTGGGGGATTGATTGGGGCCGTTGTTCAGCTTTACAAAAATAAACTTGTTTGTGTTCCATCGTGTTACTTTTTCCTCCTTCAAATTGAGTAGTATTTCACACGATTTGAGGGAGCATTAGTAGAATCTGGGTTGGTATTAGTTATTACGCTATGAAATCCGATTAGTAAAGGCTAAATTTCGCTACAGTAACACACTTTTTGTGTTGTCAACCTCTGGATTTATTTCAAAGTTATGGTCAACTCTAGGTGGAGCAGGAGTCCTCAGTGTCTTGGGGTTGCTTTGAAGACCTGCCAAATCCTGCTCAGGCAGTTTGAAGGCACTGGGTGTTTTAAACTAGTCACTCAAGAGACGTCCATTAACGGAGCAAATCGCTTATAATTTCAGACCAGGATTGATAAAGTGTTGTAATGGAATTCACCAGGAATGGCGTCTTGGTTTTAAATAAGACTCAGATAAAAAAGGACCTATTATTTTAGAAATGAACTTGAAACCAGTCAGGGCGACTTCATCTTCATGATATAGTTCTGAGGTGGAAACTATTTGATGCAAACATTCCATTTTGAAGCAATTATTTGTTAGAAACTCGTGCCACAACGACTACGTTTTCACCAAAGCCCTATCTATGTGCCTGGAAGACGCGATAGCCCAGGGGCGCGGAGTGATTGGAACACCAAAAGCGAAAGGAGATTCGTGTTAAAAGAGAGCTTTGGTGACTGGTTGTCAACTGCCCACCCGGCTTTGCGTTCACCTTTGACGCGCGAGGGATTTTCAAAAATCCTACGTAAACCTCAGCCACGCTGGCAGTCGCAAACACCTTTACCCAAATTAGAAACTCCCCATATTGGTAATTGTTTCTTTCTGGATGCAAAGCTAATCACAAGAGCACCGCTTTGTTCGCATAGACTAGGATGCTGTGTAATCAGTGCGCGTCAGTTTGCCTAACACTCGGTAATTCCTCATTTTTGTCTTTTGTCTTGGTTTATTGGAAGTCAAATCTATGGTGCAAGAACACAGCAAGCGCACAGGACTCGTCTGGCACTGCGCCAACTCCGAAAAGCTATTAACCTGTTCGATAGGAATCCCTTTAGTAGTAATTGTCTTTGAAGAAGACAAAAAAGGTCAACTTAAAGAGTTGCATCGCAGCGCGATTCTGGTCCCACGTTTGCCGTCAGTCCCGATTCTCTCACCAACTTGTCCAAACAAGCATAAACGAAGTCGTCTGCGCTCTTCTTGTCTTGGAATCTCAAGTTTTGTCACTACCTTAAAAGCAGAACGATGTACCATGTGGGTTAAAATACGACCTGAAAACTCGTTATAGGCATCAGAGCCCTTTAGAAGTGTCTGTTTTCCCTACGCTAGTACGAGACCACACACGTCTCCATCTTCTTCAAAACACACATTCTTCCTCCTAGCCTGGGATTTATAATTTTGAAATCCCTGCCTCGTGCCCACACATTTGCTGTTCACATTTTTGCAGCTCTGCTAGAAAACAGATCTTTTTTGCGCATTACTCATAGTTGGCGGCATAGGGTGACGTACTCTGAGTAAATGGTTAGTTAGAATCGGCTCTAGCTAGTCTGCTATTAGAAAAATAGTACATCCTTCCTAATCTAAGTCACCTGACGCAAGTGTTTTAATTTTTAGCTGGTGCTGACACAGGATTTGCCATATACGAGCGCTTTACTAATCCAAATAGCGCAAAGATTGGCTTTGTTGCCCACCTGGGTGGCTTCGTCGCGGGTGAGTTTGCGTCTCTTTTAAAAGTTAAAAATTTCGCCATGCCTCCATTGCATCCCCGGACTGCAGGAGTTTCGGAAAGAGGCCATTGTCCTGTTAGAGATTTGACCTCAAGCCATCCAGTGAGATTTGCGAGGGGTTTTCAAATCGCCACGGCTTCCATTGCATGTGCATAAAATACGTAAAATTTCGGCCGAGTCACCCTGCCAAAAGAGGTATACATTTTTTGAGATAGATCAAATTTAAATCATGTCAAATTCCAAATAGTTAACTATCACCTAAACGATCCAAACTACGAACAAGAAAACGTGTGTTGTTGTGTTCTATCTGTGCAAATACTACGCCTATTCAACGACGCCATTTTGAAAACCGTCACTACGATCAGTCACCTTTGACTTGTGCTGTGTCTACCTGAACCTGCACACTTTTGGAAAATGTCTTCACAATTTGAAATTCCCTCAAAGCTGGTCGGGTTGTTGTGTGCGGTGTACAATATGACAGGAATGTCAGTTCATCATGGCTGGTAGTTACCAACATTTTTAAAACTGAAAGCTCAAAGATAGATGCAAATGGGAGGGCATTTACTCATCGGCATTCTGATGACCCGAAGAGAGTTGAGTGATTCTCCAGTCTCTAGCAGTCGGTTCAAGGATTTTTCCGCAATAAAATTACCCTGCAAGGACTTATTTTCAATCAGCTGACTCATCCCAGAGCTGCCCACAGCATTTTGCACGGGCAAGGCGCAATTAAATTGGGCTGGCAACAGATGCAAAACGCTGAATTTATGGGGTTGCCCTGCGGTCGAATGCAACTAAACAGTTCTATTTTGTGCTTCTCGAAACCCCGCCAGTTTTTTTGCCATCGATCTCAATTAAGTGTATCATGGACTAGAATGCATCGCCTGAGCAGCACAGAGGTGATGCGTGGAACCCATAGAAAACAGGCCTTCCATTGTTCATTTGGATGAAGCCAATCACGTTGTTTGATTCTTAGTAGTTAGATGCGTATGTCATAACGACTGACAAAATGCACTTGCGCTTCTTGTCCTGTATTCACACCGAGAAAAACAGAGCGGTTTGTACGCGTTTTGCCTTTCATTTTTTTCCTGCGTCGTCTTGGGAGACGTCACAGATGGTAAATTGTTCTACAGGAAGTTAAACCTTCACAGTAGAACGATGTCAAGTTGGGAGACGATTGGTGCCACTCCATTAAAGGTCTTTCTGCATTAACAGCGTGTCTGATCCATCTATCTAGCAGATTCGTCTTGAATCGAGCAGATTGATTTACTTCAATTTCGTCAAGTCGCTAGTTCTGAAGTACCTGCAGCAAGTTGTTGCTGTTCGTGCATTCCACTGAAGAAAAGAGGCATAAACGCATGCAGTGCATCTCAGCTTTGAAGCCTGCATCAGGTGAAGTTTGTAGGCATTTTGTAGCAATGGCCTTCTCGTAGATTTCCTGAACCACTCGCGCAAATGATTCAACATCTTTTTTGAAGCTGATGGCTGTCCAGCTCCGCCCTTTTTATTCAATCAACCTTCCCCTCAGAATATCCAATTCGATGTTGAAATGCAATTCTCTTTTCTGACGCATGTCATTGATCTCTTAAAACAAATGGACGTCACAAATTAACATTTTTTTTGAGTTTGAACGTGTTTCAGTACACGAAATGCCTTCTTTTTTGTGCAATAACCGGTGTATCAAACCCTAAAAGGGGATATACATGAAGGAGGAAATTCAAGAAACAAGTAGTGAATTCTAGGCAAATTGCTCGAATTTAATCACAATTCGTTTTCACCACTGGCTGATGAATTGATACCAGTAATTTACGCATTCCTAGAATTGCATGCGAATAGCTACGGAAACTTGTTCTACCACGTGCTGTCTGTTCAGTCCAATGGGCTTAGACAAATTCCGGCAGGTTTACAAATTAGGCTCCTTTTAAGCAAGCAGTATGCGGTTTTGCCGTAGGGTAATTGTGTAGCAGACTAAGCAAAGTTGTCAGACAGACAAATACCGTCAGCCGATTGTGGAAAAACAAATTAGGGCGACAACTGAGCGTCGTAACATGCGGTTCCTGTCTCTTTAAACCAACGTCCAAAATTTTCCACCTTGAATTGCCTGCTGTCATGGCGGTGTTTAACTTGGGCGTTTATTGGTCAGCAAAAATCAAATCGACTGGTGTCCATTGGCTAGGCAAATGTTCTTAGCAATTAAATCAATATTCTAATGAGAATGGCATTGGAGGCACAGTAAGGTGCTGGCTTAGATTGTAATAACTTCCTTGTTATTTTTTATGTTTTACTTCTGGTTTTCGGTGAGTGTCAATCAAAATTTTCTCATTGAAGGAGCAGTGGTCAGTACATGTTCACCCTTTTGTTCAGGTGTGCTTGTCGGTATTCCTGTGTTGCGGAATTTGGAGATCGAACGGTGGGAGAAGGTGTGCTTCTGGGTGTGCATTTTCCTATTCGCGGCGTTCATGGCAGCGGCGGTGCTGTTCAACGGCTTCTGCGAGGAGTACAACTGGTGTCCACCGACCGACTGGAGTTAGTCCCCCTTTCCCGCCCTCCTCGGCACCATCGAATTCACCGGTCGCTCTGGTAGACCTGAATGTTCTTATCCCCCCTCCCCCTACCCTTCTTTGCGCCAAAAAGTGCATGCCATTTTTCACTTCCTTATTTTCATCTCTCCTGCTATGGCTAAATTGCATGCTTTTTATAACTTGACTTTAGAGTTTACAATTATAGTGATTTTACTCATACCCAGTTTTGGATCGGTGCTGTGGACGATGGGAGTGAGAGCTCAAAAAATGAAATACAGGTTACTGGTTTACAAAGAGTAGTGTCTTTGATATATATAGTAAGATTCCGTGAAGTATGTTGATGAACCCTCCTCGTGTGAAACTCATTGCCGGTTAGGTACGAATCGGGGCCATAAAGCCACCAAAGAGACTATCTCAAACTGCAACGCCGAGTTATCGTGTGTCACACCATCAAAAGAGAGCAGCACTACTGAGCAGTCAGTGGTTTGTAATCAGGCGGCGTTGTGCGTTCGTGGCATGTATGCCGTTGAGCTTCATGTTAATCAGTTTATCGTACTAATTCAGGATGGAACCCTCGAAGTGCTATCGGCAAAAGCGAAGACATATAGAGGTGAATGTATTATAAACAACAATATATAACAAGGCAAGTCTCATTTAGTCACTATGGTCTCAAGTTAATAAGGTCGATAACAGATATAAAAACAGACCCTAGTTTCAAAAGTGGAAAATATAAAGGCTTTAACCCATAAGTGTCAATATTTTTGGGATTAGTTAGTTTAAAATCCACATTTGCAGATGCTATTGTTCCATCGCAAAGTTGGAAGTCCAGTGACAGATAAAAACGATTAAGTACAAACTCCAAGTAGATAAACTGCAGCTTAGTTTTGGGAAAGCATACATTCATTCGAATGGGATGAAATGTATACAATAATACATCGAGAAAGCAGAAATTAGAGGGAGCAAGGAGTAGCCTTATTAATATCTTTCAGGTAACTGCGCACTTTATATAAGTTTATTTGTATAAAGCTCTAGTTAAACTTTCTAGTCACCAGAGACATTGCTGGCTGTTTTTAAAATGTATCAGGATGTTATCCGTTTTTGTGGGGCCTCTTCATATTCGGTTAAAGTTTACAGTAAAGTAGTAAGCCAAAATTAAGATAAAAATAGTCTCATTTATTGAGAAGGTAATTTAGTATTATATTAATTTACTTCAGGTAATTTAAATAAACGCCAAATCTGGAACCAGTTTTATAAAAATAGGTTATTTAGAATCTTAGCATTTTCAACTAAACAATTGCTATTATAGCATAAATTAATATGATTATGCAAAAATCATAAATCACACAAGATTCCCTTTTGTAGTTCGAGCTTTACAGTTTCATGAGCCTTTAATTTACTGCTTATGATAATATTTAGCTTTTAGTTCCCTCGAGGGGAGCGATGTGGTGATGTAAACGAAATCAGGGCGATATTTTAGAATATCAGACAGGAGTAAGCATAGGTTTGCCATTTACTCTAAATAGAGCATTAATGACAAAGTTCACGTTGTTGATACAGACCACAAACCTCATCACACCACTCAACTTAACTTTTAAAAGTTTGTGCCTAGGAAGGAAATATAAGCTAAGGTTAATAAGATGGGCTTTGCTGACATTTTCGAATGCATAAGTAAATGTTAATTTGCTCTTTGTAACTGAAATTTGCTGTATTTGTTACTGGTAACTTAAGTTTACCACAAAGTGATGAAATTTATTTAAAACTTAAAAAAAGAATATGACCTCATCGCAAATTAAATTACTCATTTTTTAAACCCTTTTAAGCAAAAAATGCATTATAGTTATTTGATTTTCAAAGCAAATGCGGATTATTCTTTTGAATAACTTCGTATAATTTGTTTTAGCCTCTCAGTAACTATTGTTTGACCTTAATAAAATCTAATTCTAGCACCGCGCATTATGCTGAAGTGATCTCTTGTCGCGATATCAACTTAAAGACATGCGATGTTGCCTGAAGTTTGGCGGAATTATCCAATTTTGGCACTGCATCCTAATTTTAAGTCTTCAAAGTTATGTGCTTATTCGGAGCATATTGGGTTATCTAAAGCTACGATCCCAAATATTTAATGCTCGCCATGGTCTTGATTGGGATTCAACGCCTTTGAACTTTTTCGTGAATTGCATCGTGCTTTCTGCCGCATTTACAATTATAATGGCTTTTTTGCTGTGTGCACACAGGGATTATTTCTTTCTTGGGTCGTTTCCTATCAATTCTTCGCAAATCATTTCGGACTCTCGTAACTCTGGCAACTTTGAAGACTTGAGTAACAGGACAGTGTCTTTAACTCCTGAACAGAAGAAACGATCTGCATTTGTAAAAAACGGTCCTGTTATTGTGTTTCCTTTGGCGTTTCTATTTCATGTAATGGCTGCATTCTGTCTGCTGCTGCCTACACCTTGGGTGATAGGAGAACAGGCTAAAAATGAGGCCATAGATCCAAGTAAGTTGCTATTTTGGATTTTATGATAGGTAATGTTCTATTATTAGATATTTTGAAATAATTTCGTTTTGAGTTGCCAATTTGCAGTTTTATTATTACTGAATTTTGCCTGAGTGATTGAAAGTTGAAAGTTAGTAATTGCTAATTCTGTTGCCTGGTCTTTGATACTCTAGGCTTTCGGACAAAATTTTGACCATTTTATGAATTGCAATAGCATTTAATGTTGGCAAAGCTTTTTGTGTTTAAGTCACTTAAATAATTGTCAAGTTATGTCTTTAATTCTGGTAACTAACAAATTCAAGTTGAGAATTCAACAAAAGATTAGACTCGCTGTTCAGATTTAAAGGTATATAACTTGGAATACGTTGCTATAATAAACTATTTTTTCATTTAGCTAAATATAATATCAAGGTATATTTATATCCCAGAGATTTTTTCAACCCATCACTGATTACCTGTTTTCAGTATAGTAGAGACATAATAATTATTCAGATTAAAATGATGGGCAAAATGTGTGAAAACCAAATGATGTGGGTTTTCACAAATAGAGAATTTATCAATCTGGGATGATCTTTCCAAACTAATTTTGACTCTTTTTGACCCACAACCTTTGAGCTCTTGGCACGACATATCGCAAAAATTTCTTCTTAATTAAATTAAAGCTTAAAAGACCACTGCTTTTACTCATTAAAACCTTAAACCACTACAGTTGCTTAAAAACTGATATGAATTTGCCACACTTTAGATTCTCTGCCCTGCAGAATGGTGAATGCGTATAATTCCTTACGACTATCCCGATATCAGTCGGCACTTATTTAGGTAGTTTCGAAAACGTTTTTGCCATTTTTGCCAACCCAAAAAAAACATGCAACCTCTTTTCGCAATCTGCCAGCGAAATGAAAAAGGAGCAATTCAAATGATCAACACTCATGAATAGCAGGCAGTGTGAATTATGGTCTTTCCATTAAAAAACGTGCAATTAGTAAACAAAGGGGATTAAGTTTAAGATTTTATGCCCAAATAATGGTGAAAATTTTTGTCCGGCATTACACTAGTCACTCATTTTTCTTCACTTTACAGAAAATCATGGCTTCTGTTTACTTATGGGTCAAGTTAATCTTAACTTACTAAGAGCTATAGAGAACTTGTACATGGGCTTGTATGTGTGTCAGACAAAGTAGATTCTTGTTTAAATGAAGTCTCTGCACATTTCTGAGTACCATTACTTTCATCCAACCACATGAACTTTGAAATTTGATAGCCCTGATCTTAAATAAATATATCAAAATCTAAATGTCCTATTATTGGCAAAGAAAGCAATCAGAAGCAGCAATATTAACCGGTGACTCGCGTTTCTGGCATTCCAACCAAAGTGAATTGTGCAAAAAGCTAGCCAAATGCATAACCTTTGGGTTTTCCTGCTTTATAGGTCTTTTTCCTATCAAAAGAGCAAATTTTAAGCGTCTTGGGACCCTAATTAAATATAGGGGCATTGTAGGCTATGGTGACGATTTGTAAAAGAACTATTAAACCGCAGACGACAACAATGGCTGGCTGTTAATTAAAGTGACGTAACTACGCGGACTCTTAATTACCGTTTTTAAGGCTTTAAGTGGAGGAACATGTGCACTTAAACCAAACCGGAGGCAGCACATTTAGGGAAACACCCTCACATTGCTGTTAAAGTGGCGAACTGGTTGGAAGGGAGGGCACCTTGGCGAATACGGTGAGGTAATGGCTGGTTTGTTCTATGCACTTTTGTCCTGACCAAGGGCCAATTAACTCAATTGCGATTATTACACCATACTAACAACTCTTGGTGTGCCACTATCATGAGCTAATTTGGGAGATTGTCTAACTTTCTTTAAAACTGAGTGTTAAAGAACACAGGAAGATGACAATGATGGTGGTTGACCAATCTGGGGACAACTAGCTGGGGTGTAGTCAAAGAACAGCATCCCTTTGACGCAACAGCTGCAACGTGAATTTCTGTTGAAACCACACTGGAATCTCACTTCCGGCTGTGGGGCCTGATGATAGGATGGCGCATCTAGTTTCTTTTACCTCAACTCCGGAAATAGACTCCTTTTTTATTCTTCATTCACAATTCAACAATACTGCTGTGCATATCGTGGAATCGCCATAAGTTGTTTGCGTGTGTTCACACGATGTTAAACTAATTTCATTAAACTTCCCGTGGTAAATTTCCTGAAAAAGACTTCCATAGACCTTCTACACTTGCGGACGTCTTTTGTACACACGATTGATGCCGTAGTACATCATAATTACAAGCTTCCTCACTTCCTGTGAAATTTATTGAATAATTTTACTTATGGGGAGCAGTGGGTGTAATAAAGTCATATGGCTTACTGCTCCATCTGCATCACGTGAAAACGCGCAATTATAACTAAAAATTTGCGTTAAATTAGGGATACTTTGCAGTGCGACTGTTTGTAGGTGTTTTTAGGTAATCGAATTCGTTTCCTGCCAATAGTTTTGTCTTCCTATTGAGTTCAGTAATTTTGGCTGATACATGTAGCATTTAGGGTGTAAAGAAGCGTAAAAATTGCATTTAATAATATGCAATTCATGCTGACTTGACGAACAGTCAAATCGCCGCGGTTACTATACTTCTCAGTCCTAATGCGTAGACACTGTTAAAAATTAGCCTGTGCGAAGTCAATATTTGCGCGCGTGACGTGAAATTTGACAGTGGTAGATGGATTTCATATAGCGTGATAAAATCGACTGTTCATGACATGATTACGCTACGTAAATAAGTTCATGCAGTTACCGAACACGGTGGTAATGCTAAGGAGAAAAAAGCACTAGTTTCCATTGGTGAAGGGCCATATGTCTGGTTACACCAAGCGAAGATTTTCCAACTTCTCTTGAGTGTTCATGGCATTTATTAACACCCGATTAAAATAATGAATTGGTGATAATAACTAAGAAGACCTTCAAGACAGTATCCAATTAATATTGTGTTGTTCTAAAGCACAGTGACTGAAGATCCGCAGGTGTTGATGTATTGGTGGCGGCTTAGTAACGCAAAGGCAAAATTTAAACGTAAAATTCACGTAGATTAACGAGGTAAAGTTGAAAAATGTGTCCTGTCAATTGTAATTTGATTGTGTGTGCG